GCAGGGCTGGCCTGGCCTGGCCTGGGGTGGGTAGGAAGCTGTGGGTGCTGTATCTCAGACCTCTGTGGCACCTGTGGAGGCGCATCTAGGGCAAGGAGGAGTCCTTCCCCTTCTCTTGCAGAATCTGTAGGGCGCCCTCCTCCTGCTGGCACCTGAGCCAGGTGGGAGTGGCAGTATTATCTCACTCTTAAAATTTAGGGGATGACTATTTGTGTATGTATCTGCTTGTCTTTTGTTGATAGTCTTGTACGTTTTCATATTTCATTTTCTTAATGTTTTATGACTTGTTTTGTGACCTAACATATGGTCTGTGCTTGAGAATGGCCCGTGTGCTGAGGAAAATAATGTGTGTTCTGCAGCTCTTAGAGGGTGAAATACTCTGTAAATATGTATTCGATCCCTTTGGTCTATAATTCAGATTAAGTTCATTGTTTCTTAATTTTCTCTGTGGAAGATCTGTTCAATGCTGAAAGTGGGGCATTGACGTGTCCAGGTATTATTATATGGAGTCCTAGCTCTCTAACTGTAGTAATATTTTCTTTATATATCTAGGTGCTTCAGTGTTGAGTGCATATATATTTACAATCGTTATGTCTTCTTGCTAAATTGACCCCTTTGTCATTATCTAGTGGCATTCTTTGTCTTTTCTAATAGTTGTTTTAAAGTTTATTTTGTCTGACATAAGTATAGTTATTTCTGCTTTTTTTTTTTTTTGGTTTCCATTCGCAGGGAATCTTTTCCATTCCCTTATTTTCAGACTATGTGTGTCTTTGGAGGTTAAGTGTGTTTCTGTAGGCAACAGATAAATGGGTCTTATTTTTTTTTTTATCCATTCTGCCACGTATATCTTTTGATTGGCGAGTTCAGTCCATTTACATTCGTTGTTATTATTGATAAGTAAGGGCTTGTTCTTACTATCTTGTTTTTTGGTTGCTTTGTGGCCTTCTCTTCCCTTTTTTTCCTTCCTGTCTTCCTTTTAGTGAAAGTGATTTTCTCTAATACACTTTTAGTACTGGGTTTGACACATGAAATCATAAGAGCAAATACTGGAACACTGTTGATATGATTAGTCTTGCAGCTACTGAAACCATCTCCAGCAATCTTTCTCTGCTCCTGAACATGGAGTAAGGGCCTGGGTGCCCCTTATTCAAAACAATGTAGACTCTGAGAATCAATCATTTCTGTGCACTGTTTGCACCAAGTGCTTTTATGCCAAATCTAACTTGGCCAATATAGTTTCAGACTGTTTTCTCTGTGAAATTTAACGTATTCTTCTCTCATTCAATACCGTGCTTATAGACTCTGTGTAGGGGAATTCTGGGCAGGTAAAGGTAGTGCAGCCTAGGCACAGTTCTATCTGGTTTTCCCTGAGCACCTTAAAGAAACTCCAGTGGGGGACAGGTCTGTGATGCTAGCATAATTGCTGAAGTTCCTCTGTCTCTTTGAACTTCCCTCCAGGACATTCCCTCCGTGAGCCTTTCTCTCCCCTTCCTCACCATCTGGTTTGCTCTGATGCCTACACCTGCCGTGCTTCTGGACATCTGCGACAACCCTGCTGTGAAGGTCTCAGGTACAGAACTTAGTCTTACGTGGAAGAAAACACAGGGCTTCCCAAAGGTCTTACTGCAGGTTTAAACTGTAATGGTGTTAGAAGTATAAATACTACAAACTTAGAAAAGGCCACATCGTAAAGGATAATAATTTAAACATTTAAGATACTAATATCTTTGCTATGGACATTCAAGCCAACCACTGTCTTGTGCTAGTGGTTCTAGTCCATTTTCAAACTGCAAACACGGAGAAGCAGCCACGGGAAGGTTGCCTTTGAAGATCCTCCAAAGAACATCCCGCGACGGAAGGTCTGATGGAGACTGCCAGTGAATGACAAGGCCTCTGCCATGCTGCGGCTCTGGATGAACATCTGGACGCTGTCTCACATGCAGCCTAAAAGCTGAAATGTAATACTCCAATCTGCAAAGCTGAAGAATGTGGAATATTTAAATAAACTTCCAAATGATGAGTTCTCTAAGTTTGCAGCATTTATACTTCTGATTTGGGACACACTGTAGATAGCTCAATACCGAGCTATATATCCAACCCAAAAGGTCAGAGGAAGAATAGCGAATAACACAAAGAAGTAAAAAAAAAAAAAAAAGAAAGATAAAAACAGATTTATAAACTAGAAAGCAGATAAACAATAAGGGAAAACAGTACTCTGAAAATCCTAATAAAATAGGTTGAATAATAGGCAAATGTGTTCAATAAAAATATGTGGGAATATAAGCACAGGTACCTATGTCTTAAGATAACACTTTAAGAATAGTATTCAAAACCAATGTAGACTCTGAGATCCAATCATTTGTGTGCACTGTTTGTACCAAGTGCTTTTATGCCAAATCTAACTTGGTCAATGTAGTTTCAGACTGTTTTCTCTGTGAAATGTAACATATTCTTCCCTCATTCAATACTGTGCTTACAGACTCTGTGTAGGGGAATTCCCGGCCGGTAAAGCTAGTGTAGCCTAGAGCTTGGCACTTCCTCAGTCACTCCCTATCGCCTCCCGCACAAACAAAAGAAATGCAGATAAGAACTAGGCCAGGACAAATCTAGACTCCAAAGAATGACAGGACACCTGCAGGAGAACTCCGTCACAGGTGGGAGAAGAGAGGAAGGAGGACGGTCTTGCCAGGCAGAGCTGGGGTCAGTTCACCCACACAAGAGATGGCCCCTGGACCCTGAAGGGGTTTTTTTCCCCATGCTCATTGGTGGGTGAGGGGCTGCGCAGGGCCGGGCCTGTGAACTCTCCAAAGTGACAGGTTGAAGCTCCCTCCCAGGACCAGGCCCCATGCTGCATCGGCCCTGAGAAGAAGCTGCTGGGGAGAGTCCATGCGGTGCAGACGTGTTGCTACTGGGAAGAGAGGGCTCAGAGTGGGCGGGGGGACAGAGCGGAGGTCTCAGGAAGGAAGGGCACACTTGGGAACCAGTGAAAACCACAGTGGAGGGGCCTCCAGAGCTGTGAAGCTGGAAGAGCTTCCTACCCTAACGTCAAGGAAACAAATGTCCCCTGCAAAGGAGCAAGAGAAAAGGACTGTGCATCAATCCAACACCGAATGTGGCTGGTGAAAAAGAGTAAGGGGCGGGGTTGTGGCCTTTGAGACTGTCAAAGTTTGCCAGAAAGATATGCTCACCAATAGGTGGAAACCATAATCCAGTGTTTCAAAATGCAGTAACATAAATTCAGAAAAAATAGAAGACATGAAAGAACAACAAAAATCAGAATTAGAAAACTCAGAAATGAGTTAGCATTCAGGAAATTAGCGAAAAAGTAAAACATGGTTTCAGAAGGGATGACTCAGTCAGAAGGACAGTAAAGGAACAAATGCCACAGATATGGCAAGGCAAGGGGTCACCTTACTGACTGGGCTAATCGACCCAGGTCAGCAGAACGAGGAGGCTGTTGCCACCCAGCCAGGCGGGGAAGAAAATGTTGGTGCTCAGGGGATCACCCCTCTTTGGTGCTTGGTGCCTCATGTGAAGACAAAGAGGCAAAGCCGCAGCCAGGACCTGAAGAGAGCTTGAAACCAGGACCTTGGGCCCCTCAGCTTCAGGGTCTAGCTGACCCCACCAGGGCTGCTGGCCAAGGGAGAAGGGATCTCGTAACGGTGCCAGAAGGATGGGTGATGAGTCTCACTTTGGCCTTGAAACCAGCTGCAGGGGGGCCTGTAGCTCCTTTCCCTTTGCTCTGCCTTTGCAAGAGAGGTAAGGCCTCACAAGCTTACTGTAGAAATCAGTGTCCAAGAGTAGACAGCGATGGGTAATGCAATCTCCTAGGATTCCCTCCGGACTCCCACATGCCCATGGCTGGCCCTGTCCCTCAAAGGCAAAAACCCCCAGCCTGCAAGGAGGTGCCTCATGAAAGGTTAAGTCCTTGCCCAGGGGATGGCTATGACAATGGCTTGCTGGAATGGGATCCAAACACCCCTGGCTTAGCTTGGGATAAAGGGAGGGCTACCCCAGCTCCAGGGCTCAGTTGCAACTGCAGCTTCTCTCTGCCTGGTCCTGCCTTCCTCCGTGACCTGTATAACCTGTGATCACTGCCCAAAAATGACCTCATGTGACTGTGTCTCAGAGTTTATCTCTAGAGAAGCCAATCTAAGGTAGCAGCAGGCTGCTTGGCTGGGGTGGGCGGCCTTTGAGCCTTAGCATGTTGTTGTGTAGAGCCTGATGATCCCTGATGGTGTCAGATAAAGGAGGCTTGAGGAGGGTGAGAGACCCCTTTGCCCAGGTCTCCCAGCCCCACAGTGGCTCGGCCAGGACCAGAAGCCAGGCTCTGGCATTCTCTGTGTGATTTCCAGTCCGCACACGCAGTTCTCTTTCCTGCAATATGTTCCTCTCTTAACACATCTGGAGGCTTTTGCCTTACACCCTGGAAATTGTTTTCTTGAGGAATATTTCAATTCTGGTATCCTCTAATCTGTACATTTTCTTCTCATGAGCATTTTCCTATGCCTCATCTTTTCTACATGAGCTACAATTTGCTTTCTGGAAATTCCTTGTTGACTTTTCTTTTTTTAAAAGAAAGAACTCACAACCAGATATGCACCATGATTCTTTCTGCTGTTGGGAAATTAGACCTTCGTGCAAGAGTTCCACTAAGTGGTTTGAGTTTATTGTTGCAGTGACGGAAGCAGTTTATCTCTGCAGGGGGAAGCGTGCTGGCTTTTGCCGTGTAAGAATAAATATGCACTAATTAATTCTGTACAAGACACAACTTCATTTGAAGTCTGCTACTTTTTTAAAGCTCCATATTCACTGTAATAGTTTCCTTTTTGGCAATTATTTATTAGTTGTTTTCTGTTTCTATGAGGAAAACAAAACAAAACAAAACCAGCAAGAGGTGGATTCTTATTTCAGTTGATTAAAAAAAAAACTGTACACTGTATCAAAACAATCCGTTTTCTATTTCATGCAAAAAAGCAAAATAAGGAGTATTCTTAAAATGACTTTGCAGGATGTGCTTTATTTTAAGTCAGCCCTGAACCCAAACTACACAGGATCAATTTTTGACATATTCTAGTCCATTCAATGATTCTTCTCAGAAACTGTATCTTAATATGGAATGAAAATTACATTTCAATCATAAATTTTTTCATGCTACATTGTTATTTAATGAAGAGGTTGTATTACCAATAATAATAATTTAAGAAAAGGCCATTTTTATTTCCCCAAGCTCAATATACATATTTCTTTCATAATTATGAACTTAAAAAACCCGTCTCAGATGTAAAAATGTGAATTGGAATATGTAAACTCTTTGATATACCTGAAAAACAGGAAGGAAAATGTCACATACTGGAAAAACCATTGCCTTAAATCATGGAAATGGGAAAAAGCACATTGAGGGACAGGGAAGGCAGAAGAGCGGTCCTGACCTCAGTTATTAAAGAGTTACAAAGTATTCCAGGTCCCACTGGGCTGGCCTTTTTACTCTTCTGCCTCACGTCGGTTTGCACAGGAGACCGCAGCCCTCCAGAATGGTTCCCCTCATTGAAGCCGGTCACTGCTGGACCACAACAAAGCAGGTGTCCACACCATTTGTTTTGCTGCTTTTTTTTTTTTTTTTTTCCTGAGAAGTCACTGGTGTTTAATGGAAAGGTATCTTATCAGTCCTCGGTTAAGATAAGGCAGTAAGAGTATCACTAATGTTATGTTTTTGCTTAGAATGAGGCTGATCCTTCCACTGGCATCTTCATGGCCAATTAGTTCCCTCTCTTTTGCCCCTAGAAACACAGGTAGGAGCTGTCTGCTCCCTATTGCTGTTGCATATTCTGAGTGTGTTGAAGGCTCATCTAGTCTCATCACAGCAGCTTCCCCAGTGGGGATGGAGCGCTGTATATTGCATTGTAGCATCTCTCCAGGAAGGGCACGGGCCCACAGAGGAAAACACAGGCATCTCTCCTTCTGACTCCTCTTCTGTTTCTCTTAGGGACGGGGCCCATACATGATTCCTTCACATGGTCAATCAGAATGCAAGACACTGTTGACTAAAACATAAAGCAAGTAGCCCTGATTTCAGAGAAATGGAGTTACAAATAACATTTTCAACAGTGCCTTAACTTGCAAGGTAGCTTTTACTGCAAAAGGATGTCAGCTCCTTTTGTCTACCTGTCAGAAGAGAAACAAATCATTTCCATTGAACTAGAAATGCTTAGCTCTTATGAGAATATTGTGCTTTTAAAAAAAATTCAAATGTTAACATTATTTGCAGTCTGTGTTCTAAGGTTTCAATTTGTTTTTTCTCTAGTCCATTTGATCATTGTCTCTGGTGAGCGATACAGGAATATTAATTTGGCATAGAGATCTTCTTCTAGTTCCAGTTCTCCTGTCTCTCGAACTAAAAAAATATCTGTGCACAACTTCAAAATTCGATCCACATTTGGAAGCTCTTCAAACATGATGGAGTGAGAAATCCCACTGAAGAATTCTCGGACAAATTTCCCAATCACAAGCACAACGGAAGCATATAATCCCATAATACTGAAAAAAAACAGTAAGTAGAAATTGCATATAGCAGTTAAATATAGTTAATAAAGCATGTCTAAAAGAAAAAAATATTATTTTGTCTCAAATTCCATAGAAGAAATAAGCATATCAAATCTCACATTTTTTCCCTTTGGTTAAAAAGTTGACTTTTTATAATAGAATTATTATAAATAGAAAATAGAATTATGTATTACAGAACTGTTAGACTTGAAAAATAAAAGTCCTTTGCAATCTCACATTCTGGAAATAATCAATGCTAACCGTTTCATGTATGGATTTTAGGTGGTTTTATTGCATACATTAAATGCATAAATCATATATTTGGTAGAAATGTGATTATATATGATTTTCTGTGGCAGGCTCCTTTCTTTTTAGCAATGCTGTCTCTCAGATACTGTCTCTCAGATTAATTTTTTATAAAATTCTGGGTGAAAATCATTTCTTATGAGGCTAACTTTGAGAAATATAATTTATATTTGTGTCTTGTGGGGATGTGCGTGTCCTAGGATTTAAGCATCAGAACATGATGCGATGGTTCAGAAGTTCAAAAGTGGGATGTCTGATAGATCAATCTGCTAAGGATTAGAAGGAAATCTAAGCAGAAAAGTGGCATTTCTATGCCAGTTTCTAAATGTAAACACTGGATTGCATTAAACTGTGCCATAACAGGAAGACGTGGAGTAAAGAAGCCATATGCCTGGGCTGTGTGAGTCACACTGGGCATTTTGATCTCTTTGGGACTCTGGTGCCTAATTTTTTGAAATGAAGGGCCAAGGACGTGTGCATTTTAATATTGCAGCTCTAAAATTAGTGAATTCTAAGAAGACAAAAGGTTTCCCACTCTCAACTTTATATGATACAGAAGTAGACTCTTGTAACTGTGAAGTGTTCCATGAGTCCTTACCCATAACCAGCCAGGAACCCCAGACTTGGGGGACTGACTTTGTCATTGAAGACCACCAGTTCCAGGGCCTGAGAGTTCGGATTGTATATTCTGTTTCCAGTCAGGTTGAGAACCCACCACTCACTGTTAAATTTAGTTGTATTGTCTCTGGACAAAATGATGGTTATATCCATGAAATTATTTTCTGGAAGGGTAGAAACACAAAATCAAGTCAGCATGAGAATTTTAGGATTTAATGCAAAAATGTTTTCAGATGGCAAAATCTGGTTACTAACTGTAGCCTACGGTTCCAGGATGAAAAGGATGCATGGACATGCTAAAAGTGGGAATGGACAAGGAAGAGTGGGTCTGGGTATCTCAGTGATTTTTCCTTTTCAGTGAGAGAGGTCAGCTGCTGTTGCTACATGGGCATGGCAGCAAAACCACAGGGCAAAAGTGGAGGATCCACCACCTGAGCGGCTGAGCTGGTAATCCCAAATGACTCTGTAGACACTTAAAAACCCACATCGCTGACTTGTGATTGAATCAACCAGTCCATTCATATTAGCAGCATCTGTTGAATGTCTCATGGGAGGAAGGCACTCAATTAAGTGCTAAAGGGCTCCAAAATTGCATATAACATTGTTCCTTATCTCCATGGGAAAAGACTATGTACATGAGCACAATTTATGAGCACATGACAGCCACCATAGGACCAGCACTGACAAGGTCTGTTGGCTTAGAGACACCACTTCTGGATAGTATGCTCCATGGGTGCCTCACAGAGCAGATAACTTCCGAGCTGAGATTTGCCAAGTGAGAACTTCAATAGGTGAAGTTGGGTGAGGAGGGAAGCTCATTTCAGGCAGGGTGATGGGACACAGCTCAGCAAATCTCTGAGAACCATAATGTCGGGTCAATGATTACTTTTATTGGAGTTCAGGGTGAATGCAAACGAGTTGTAAAAGATACAGTAAAAAGCCTGTAGTGACATTGTATAGGTCTTTTTAAGAAGATTCCACTCCTGCCAACAATACTGGTGCTTCCCCTGAGAAACATGGTGGTGACTATAAACTAAACTCTGTGACGGTGGGAGCCACATCAGCATCATTTCATACTGAATTCCTAGATCATGGGTGTCCAATCTTTCGGCTTCCCTGGGCCACACTGGAAGAAGAAGAATTGCCTTGGGTCATGCAGGAAATATACTAACACCAAGGATAGCTTATGAGCTAAAAAAAAATCATACAAACAAATCTCATAATGCTTTAAGAAAGTTTACGGATTTGTGTTGGGCCATATTCAACACTGTCCTGGGTCACAGGCAGCCCATGGGATGCGGGTTGGACAAGCTTGTCCTAGATGGTAGGAATCCAAGAATGGTACTTGACAAAAAATGTCTATGGCATGGAAGGATGAATCAATGAAGAAGAGTAAGGCACAGTATGATCCTGCTAGAGCCAAAGTCCTTATCAAGGAAGAAGGCGAACCATGCAGAACACACAGGAACAGGAGGAATGTTGGTTCTGAAGTCGGGAGACAGCTGTAAGGAGGAAACACAGGAACCTGCAGCACAGAGTCACCTCGGGAAGAGCTTGTGGAGGGACAGAATTATTTCATGGGGAATGACTGATTGTTGAGCAATCTGCATGCCCAGATGAAACATTTCTACAACTATTCCTGACTGAAAGGGAAATAGCAAATTTCTTAATGCGTCTTGCAAACACCTTGCAAGAGATATTTATTTACTGCTGAGGAAGAAACATGTGTGATATGGAGCCTGGCCTTTTGCCCATCCCCAGGGCCCTCCACTGGGCCTCTACCAGGCCAATCTCTGTGTGGCTTTCCAACTCTTCACTTATGTCTGTGTCTTTCTAGCTAAACACAGCAGCATGGAGCCCAGGCTCCAGTGCCTGGCCTATTGCCTACTGCGTAGTGAACGGCCCATGTTGGAGAATGAATAGAATGTGTGCCAGATAACTGCACTGGTTTTCCACGTTGTCCAGATCTATACATCTGCTTCTGGTTCAAGTCATGGAATCAAGCAATTCTTGATAATTAATAGAATCCAGAAACATGAATTTATACCATCCAAGTTATATTGGGAAAATTAAATCACTAAAGTGCCTCTAGAGATACTTACTAATCCTTGGGCAGAATCAAGTGCATTTCATGCTATCTTTTTATTGTTCTTATTGTGAGGGGCAGACATATTTAACAATGCATGAGGCAGTTTCCTGTCAGTAATCTGGCTGCTAATAGAAACAAGTCTATAATCTGATGAATCAGTACTATAAGAAACTTGCTGTGAATTTAAGTCAATCAAGTTTCATATCAATGAAAAAAAGAAAATGAAGAATGTGGGTCCCAACTGAATGAGTGACTCCTTTGGGCTAGTGAAGGCAGGCAGAGGTTTTATACGTCTTGTCACACAGGAAGAGATAACTAAAAAGTAGTTTGATGAAGGCCCAAACACACACTGTTGAAATTGAATAAAACTAGGATTGAAAACAATTCTGAAACAAATTTTTCTCATTCTTACCAGATAAAAGTTGCTTTATAGGTTTTGAGTTAGAATCACTAGGTGCTTTCACATAATATGGATAAATCTTTTCTATGGTCCTGTACATTAAGAAAAAAAAAGATATAATTACATTTTAATTGTTTTACCCACTAAAATTGATTTTTTATTGTTATTGTTGACCTTGTATCACCAAATAATGGTGAAAATTTCATATATCTGTACAATGTGTAGACATCATAATTTATGGGTTCCTATTACAATCAAAACTCTCTGATGTGGAGCAAATTCACTGAGCTTTATCCGGATCTGCATGTAAGTCTGTACGACAAGCTCGGTGCTGGCTTACAAACAGCCACAGGCCTTTTCCAAATTCTGCAGCTTGTTTCTGAAGCTAAGGGGCACTCTTTCTTACTAGGATCCTCTAATTCTTATCCATACCATTGAGCACATTTCGTATTTTAATTTTTAGATTTTCAAACATGTCTATAATCAGGCTGATATGGTTTGACTGTGTCTCCACCCAAATATCATCTTGAACTGTAGCTCCCATAATCCCCATGTGTCATGGCAGGGACTGGTGGGAGACAAGTGGATGATGGGGGCAGGTTTTCCTCCATCATCATGCTGTTCTCGTGATAGTGAATAAGTCTCATGAAATCTGATGGTTTTATAAAGGTCAGTTCCCCTGCACACGCTCCCTTGCCCACCGCCATGTAAGATGTGCCTTTGCTCCTCCTTTGCCTTCCGCTATGATTGTGTGGCCTCCCCAGCCATGTGGAACTGTGAGCCAATTCAACCTCTTTCCTTTGTAAATTACCCAATCTCAGGTAAGTCTTTATTAGCAGTATGAGAATGGACTAATACACAAGTAGACTACATGAACTGATCTAGAGGGGAGTGAGAAGTGAAGAGAGATGGTGGCCTGGACCTCGAGTGACCTCTGCCTCCCACAAGCCCAGTGCCTTGAATACATTCTTGAGTAGACACGCCTTCTCATCTGGGAAGTGATGGGAAAGGATCTGACAATCTCCAAGGGCCCTTCAACTTTAGCGAGTTGCAAAACATATCTCAGTCTGGGAATACTTCTAAGGCCTGCACCCTGGTGATCTGTATATTCCATGCATTACAATGGGGCCAGGGCAGTCTGAAAGACAAAACTGGGGCATCAATGGTGGATGCCTGAACTATTATGTTTAGCAGTTTTAGATCCGTATCATTTTTTTCTTGCTAGTTCATATATTAGAATCTAAACATATCAGCTTGCATCTGTTGGAAGTGGAGTACTTAAGTGGCAGGATAATATTTTGAGATATATAATTTTTTTTTCCCAAATTTCCTTTTACCCTTTGTACTCCTTAATCCTGTATGCTCTACCCCCATTCAGAGACCCAGGGGCAGGAATAATAGTAGAAAAGGGTCTCACAGGGTCTTTGCCTGGCTTTTGGTGATTATGGTCAGATAAGAGCAAGGTTTGTCATCCAGAGATGAGATCAATACTTTTTGGGCCAGGTGGACAGAGAGTGGGAGGAGAATGTGCTTGACACTAGTGGCTCCCTAAGAAGGAACCTTGAGCCCACCTCCTTCCACTGAGGGTGAACAAGTGAAGTGGGTGCCCACGATCAGGTGGCAGACACGAATGACAAGAGGCTTGGGTCATTTTAGTGCAGTCCCATGTCGCATTCCTGAATAGGGCCCTTAGAGGCACCAAGAGCCCAGTACCCCCAGGGGCGAATGAGGTACCACTGGGCACATATTATATTGGGTCAGGTGAACCCAGGTGGACCTGCCGGAGCTCCGACACCTCCAAATTGCATGAGAATGAGCATGATGATTTCTAGTGTGCCTCAGAATGGGTCCCAGTAGCTGAGGGAGACAGCTACTCTGCAGACTAAAGACAGAACTGGAAGAATAATGCCTCTCTCAATGGAAGCCCAGCAGGCCAGCACTTTCCATGCACTGATGAGCTTCCTGGAGCCTGGCACCATACAAACCCTCATTCATTCGTTTTTTATTATTTATTTGTTTATTTATTTTTCAGATGGAGTCTCGCTCTGTTGCCCAGGCTGGAGTGCAGTGGCTCGATCTTGGCTCACTGCAACTTCTGCCTCAAGGGTTCAAGCGATTCTCATGCCTCAGCCTCCCGAGTAGTTGGGATCATAGGTGTGCACCACCACACTTAGCTAATCTTTGTATTTTCAGTAGAGACAGGGTTTCACCATGTTGGTCAGGCTGGTCTTGAACTCCCGACCTCAGGGCATCCACCTGTCTCAGCCTCCCAAAATGCTGGGATTATAGGCATAAGCCACCGTGCTTGGCCCAAACCCTCATTCAGAACATAGACATAACCGTGGGGACAGTGGACAGAAAACTCCACAGCTGAGATTAAGTTTCTTTAATCTTGCAAAATGGGGCCTCCAAATAGAAATTAACTTTGTGTTACCAAAGAATGAAGTTGCATTCCTCATACACATGAATCTGTAGATGGACATTTTGGATCAGCTGCATATACCTAACAAAGCTCTATTAGTAAGAAAAATAAACTTACACTGGTGTTTTTGAACTTTCTGTGCTGTTGCCCGCTATCATTTTAGCGATATTCTTTCGAGTAATATTTTTAAGAGGAAAAGAAAGCTTATCTGTTGCTATTTCCGATTTTGCACCCAGACTTAAGTTTCTGCAAAGAGAAAAAAAAGCTTAATGTCAATGATTATTAAGAAGTCTGGAAAAGAGATTTACAGCATATTTAACTCTTAATTTGATGAATGTCACCATGCTTTCATTGGGTGCACAACTGTCAATCCCGACCCTTTCAGCCCACTTCACCTCAATGCCCAGCTTCTTAGACAACTGAGTTAATGGAGCCCACGGAGGCCACGAACACTTTTAAAACAGAGTCGAAGGTGAGAAAGAGGAGAACCTGCTGATCAAAAGAGAACCCATCTTGATGTTTTAATATGAGTTCATAAAATATTCCTTTATCAACCCAATGACGTCAGTCTCCACGATGATAAACAGACTCCATGTGTTAAAAAGAATATTCAGTCAGAAATTGAATTTTAATTGTTTTGTTGGTTTCTATTTTTTTGGTAGCTCTTTAAAGAAAAGGCTAGAAAGTAAATTTTTGGTAATTTATACAGAGTTGGACATGAATTTGGGACACTGAAAAGGAGAAAATGGGATTGACAGAGTTCTTTACATTCTGAACAGCCCCACTTCGAATTTTTAAAAACTATTTCCTTGTAAATTTTAGATGCTAGAAGGCATTGTTCTGTAACTGCCATGCTTCTTTCTTAATTCTAACAAGTCGGTCTCATGGACCCAAATGAACCTACTATTTGCCTGCCCAAATAAGCTTGCTTAGGGTTCTAAATCTCAAAACCGTGATGAAAGAACTAAGTTAATCAACTGGTGTATTATGTTGAGGTTCCCAAAACCGCATCACTAAACTATTGGGCTTTGGATGCAGTATTTGGATGTGAGAACTTCTGCTAAGATATGCGCTTTCTACCAACACAAGGAAAAACAAAGCAGGGGCCACGTGCTGGCCACGGGCTCGGGCTGGGCAGAGAGAACTCTCAGGAAGTCTCTCCCTTCGGAGACAGCCGAGCTGCCCTCGCATCTCACACTTGGGAAGCGGGTCAGGCAGGGCTTCCCCAGTATCGGTGGAATGCAAGTGATCATCTGGGCCTCCAGAGGCTGCAATTTCTTTTTCTTTCTTTTCTTTTATTTTTTTTTTGAGACGAAATCTTGCTCTGTCACTCAGGCTGGAGTGCAGTGGCATGATCTCAGCTCACTGCAACCTCTGCCTCCCTGGTTCCAGCAATTCTCCTGCCTCAGCCTCCTGAGTAGCTGGGATTACAGGTGTGTGCTACTACCTTCTGGCTAATTTTTGTATTTTTAGTAAAGACGGAGTTTCGCCATGTTGGCCAGGCTGGTCTCAAACTCCTGGCCTCAAGTGATCTGCCCACCTCGGTCTCCCAAAGTGACAGGATTACAGGTGTTAGCCACCGCAATCGGCCTGAAATTTCTTTATCATTAAGACCAAACTTCAGCCTTTCGTGGAAGTTGTAAAATTCACCCAGACTGTTTCATTTTGTAAATCATCACCTTGCCTCTCTTCTCTCTACCTCTCTTTCTTGCTCACAGAACTCACTGCCAGCCTCTCTTTAAAAACTAAAGTTATTATCTAGAATAATCCAACATTAAAATATGAAATTTATTTGGATTTCAGTTTAAAAGGAGCAGGATATTGATTTTTTGGAGATTTATAGTTACATTCAAATTTTTTTTTGCATTGAAAAAAATTTTAGATTTTCTGAAAACCACATATTAATTTAAATCGACTTTCAAACCACTTGATGCTCTGCCTTCATTTCTTAGTGTTTATGTGAAAGCACGTGGTCAGTTCTCTCTGCATTAGAGCTAGGCTTTCTGTCTCCAGTGGGCATCGTTCACTTCCTTTTCCACGGAAGATTATGGACAGTGAAATGTAAGATGCATGAGGAAAATCTAAGTGGAGAGGCTCCCTGTGGTAGATTTATAATAGTGATGTAAGTGATGCACGAGGGAGGTGTTCAGAGTAATACTCTTTTGCATTATAGTAAGAAACATTTGAAATTTAAGTGTTGTTTCACCAGTTGTACATTAAGGTAATAAAATACAATGGATTTTTAAATGCAAAAATAAACAACAACAACAACAAACCCCAAAACCAAAAAACTAAAGTTAGCTAAAAACAACAAAAAAGGAAAACTAAGAAGTTCTTAGTCTGGTTAGTGATTCCTAGGCAAGTCATTATTTAATAAACAAAAATGTTAGCTTTGGCATTGAAGGTAAGTTCCCAAGGCTGTAATGACAAAGTAAGATCCACATTAATCTAAAGTTTCCATTCTTCCATCCCACCACACCCTCCATCCCCCAACTCCATGATTAGACTGGGGGAAGGGATAAATTATGCATGGAAATACAGTAACTACCTCTGAATACTCCATGAAAAAACAACAGAGAAGCTACTATTGGGGTCCAGGAGTTCGTGTATCATTTTCTGCTTACTGGGTGGGCTGATGGTCCACAAAGAATTTGAGTTTCCTTCCAGTTCTGCTACTGTTATGTCTTCTTTTTCATAATTTTCCAGAAATTGCATAGCACCCTGTATGTGCACAAATGCACATGCATAAATAGATTATATGCATCATGCTGTATAAAGAAAGCAGTTACTCTTCCTTTTAACCGGCAGTATGGAAAAGGTTTCTCCCTTTGAAGGGAATATTTTCATAATGGATGGTCTTGAGTGTTCCATCGCACTAATTTGGCTTCCTTACCCACAGGTATGGGCAGTTTCCAGTTACATTACCCAATCCCGGCGGTTGCTACCATCAATACAGCTGTGGAATCATTCCAGTTAAATGATAAAGGAAAAACAGATAATTTAGTGTCATTTTTCCTTTCCACTAAAAAGGAAATTTATCACCTATCGGGGAATGTCCCTCTCACGAGAGAGACCAAACTTAATCTGCTCAGGACATCCCAACCCTCTCTGAAGAACTGCTCATTGTTCCAGATTAGTGTTGACTGTGTGCATTATAGGTGACAATTTACAGAAGAGAGAAGCATCTCCTTCCTATTCACTCTCTTCAATAAAAAAAACTATTTGTAAGACAAATTTTAATGATGAGGATTATGTTATATTATTAAAAGTGTGGAATATAGACAAGAGAATAACATCAGCCATCATCCTGCTACCAGAACATCATCATTGTTTTAAGTTTTAGGGGACGTATTTCTTATTTTTTGTAATTTAAAAAATAATAGCCTTTTTAAAATTTATGTTTTAGCTTGAGAAATTGTCATGTCATTTATAGTCTCTGTAATGAATTTTTTAATTACAAAATAAGTTGCTTAGAAAATCTTTGGACAACATGGCACGTAAATAAAATGGAAAGTAGAAGCTCTTTCTCCCATTATGACCACTCTAGGGTATGCAGTGCTAATCGAATTCATTTAATACATCTGCCTTAATTTCCTCAACCAGCTCTTGTTTGCTGAGCCGCAAATTGCCTCCAGTTCTGCTAATACAGAGAATGCACTCATAAGCCAGTGCCTAGATAGAGCTTTCTCATATTTTGAATTACTTCTTAGGACAGATTCCCAGAGTAGGCCTACTAGTCAAGAGATGAATATATACCACAGTTTAAAAAGTTGAACAATTTTTAAAATAGATCAATATTTAAATGTTTGTTACCACTCATGACATAGACATAACTTCTTAGATTATCAAAGTGAATATGCTGTATGTAACTGATCAACCCTGAAAAGTCCTTCTTCCCACCACCTCAGGCATGGAAAAGCATTAAATGACAGCGAGTGAGCTCCCCTAGATGAGAGGTCTTCATAGAAATCCACTATAGGGATTTACTTACGGTGTCCCTAGAAAAAGCTTGTATAAATTTATTAAAGTTCTGCTGGTCCATAACTTTTAACTGGCTTTGTTGGGCACTCATTGTGAAAATAGGCTGGAAAACAAAGAGAACAGTGTTGTCAATATTCCCCAGCTCTTCTCTCCATCCTGAGTCAAAAGAAAAACATTTATGTAGGATATTAGCCCATTTATGTAGGATATGTTTATCCCATGACAAATGGCATCCGAGATCTCTTTTTGGAGGGATTATACCCGTGCTCAAGACCAGAGGGGAACTAGTCTCTCAATGTCTTCGGCACCTCATTTTATACATCACGTGTTTGCTGAGCAGTCAGAATACAGATAGGACAGCGGGGTTGGCAGCTCATAACTAAATACCCTACAGGCATCTATCATAAAGGAGTGTGGCTTGGGGCAAGGCTCTGGTAGGCGGGGTGTGCACAGAGATCACCTGATACCCTCCCAGGGTAATTGTGACGGAGACGTCCAGGGGCTGGTTGATGACCCCAGCCACAGATTTGATCAAAGACATGAAGAGAAGAGGAAACCAGACGATGCAGATGAGCAGGACGATGATCATTCCTCCCATGCCATACTTCACCACTTTCTTCTTCTTCTGGCCCCGCGGCTGAGGATATCTCTGCAACAAGAGTTCAGACAAGGCTCAGGCTCGGGTGCTTTCCGAGGCTGAGCCTTTTGGGAGGCTGAGGCAGGCGGATCACAAGGTCAGGAGATGGAGACCATCTTGGCTAACATGGTGAAACCCCGTCTCTACTAAAAACACAAAAAACTAGCTGGGAGTGGTGGCAGGTGCCTGTAGTCCCAGCTACTCAGGAGGCTGAGACAGGAGAATGGTGTGAATCCGGGAGGCGGAGCTTGCAGTGAGCTGAGATGGCGCCACTGCACTTCAGCCTGGGTGACAGAGCAAGACTCTGTCTCAAAAAAAAAAAAAAGATTTGTATGATGAGAAAAGCCCCCTCTGGGCGCTGGCTTCAGGGAATGGGGAGGGGCAGGTGCGTGCTGCAGGGGCTCACTCTCCTACAGGAGCCCGTGCACCAGTAAGGCTGGGGGCGCTTCTGTTTGCTTTAATAGAGATTCATGAAGGACCCACTAAGCCCCTTGCTTAGAGACTATGGACAAGGGGAAGTTGGAGCTGTGCTGTCTGGCATTGAAGCTGTTCCTGTTCTACATGTGTGTTCTTACTTCAGTGTTGCTGCTCCATGACCTCTGTCCTTTCAGCGTTACCCCTCAGGCCAAGCTACATGCAGAACATAGGGTCAACCCCACTCCCCGAAGTGGCAGTGTGATTTATCTTCAGGAGGGTTCCATTCGTTTCAGCAGATTAAGATAAGGAAAAATAATCTACCATTTACCCATAGGCACTAGCCGCAGATTACAAACCAGGAGAGAGGCCTGGGAGTCAGTACAGGACATGACTACAGTGGCTTTTACAACCCATAAACACAGAGACCACAGTACAACAGGCCCCATCACTGTAACGCTGGAATTCCCAGGGAAAGCTGCAGAACACACCAGGAATCACACAGAGGAGCCTTTTTCGAGGAGGGTATTTTGAGATGAGAGAGAAAGACATTTCATGCCACCCCAGCTAATGTTTGTTGGGTATTTCTATTGCTCTTATGCAACTGACTCTTCTTTCACATATTAAACTTTTGAGAAGTGCAATAAATACTAGTAATCTAGACATATTTAAACCTTAATGTTCAATCTAGCAGAATAAGCAGATATTTGCACTTCACTTTTCTTTGCACAAAGAGGTTAAATTGTCCATCCCTCTTCAAAAAGTGAGTCAGAAGTAAGCATGAGTCCAACCACCACCAGCCCCCCTTTTCTCTACAACATCACATTCTTTTCTGCTCCCAAAGGAGCATTTAAGAGTTTTTGGGATATATCAAGCAATATACCATTTTTAACAAATAACTACAATACGATGTCTCCAAAAGAAGAAACATCTGGATGCTATTGATGACTATGGCGGCAGTAAGTCTAAAATTCCCAACTCTAGTTGGTTGGAAATCACTGGGACATTTATAGGTTGAGATAGTTTTGCCTCATGCCTTCATTGTGAGCAGAAGCTCACATTCATCTTAAAACCAGCCTGTATCTAAGAGAAGTAGACAGGAATAAGGCACACCTCCTGGTTTCTTACCTTCTCCGACTCCCGCCAACACTTCAGGATGAATATGTGGGCATAGATGTCCTCCACACAGATCCAGCTGGACAGGCTCAAGGTTGTGTCTGTCCACACCCAGTCCATCACTGCCCTCAGCTCAGTCAAAAAGGGCACGAGGCGAAAGCTGGCGGGAAACACATCTCATCAGAGAGACATTCGTAGGTGGCCCCCACCACCCTGCTCACCCGGGAGCTCAAGCAGTTCCTTACTGCTTTAACCTCATGACTCAGAAAAAGTTCTCCTGGTGACCCTTCCAGTAAAACCCAACTTGGAACACAACTGCCTTTCATTATAAGTGGAATCTATGGATTTGTATTTTTTCATTCTTTTCCCTTTCTCTGATTATCATAACCAACTGGGATCTCACTTTTAAATATGTGTGAAGGTGACTCAGCTTCTTTCCTATTTATTTGTTCATGTTACGAGACTCTTGGCCATGGGGTGCTGAGTGACTGTGGCTCTGCTGCTGGATGAGTGAAGCAGGGGTGGTGCACCTGGTAGGTTAAAGATGAGGGCAAACGGATGAAGGCAGAGGGAGGAGGAGAGGTTGTGGGGAGCCAGGGTGTGAGGCCCCTCAGCCGCAGGACTTGCTGGAGTACCAAGTTGATGGTCTTGGCTCAGCCTCTGTGGTTCAGTTGTGTTCAGAAGGGATTGGCCTGGGCTCCTCCAGGCTCTGAAGAATTTTCCTAGTCTCTTGACTGATGCAGAACGTCTCCCAGCCTGGAGAACCTGGGTTCTCCCAGGGCCCTCACAGCAGTGTGGATCGCCCCTCAGCAATTCTCCCCTAGGCTGCCTCAGCCCTGTCACGTGAATATAAACCCAATCCCCGGAAGAGACACCAGGCCCAGTCACAGGCTAGCACTGTATGAAACACGACCCTTTGGCGCTTCACAGCAGCTGAGGGCACTCAACACCTCTTCTGTCTGGGGCTGAGGAGAAGCCAGCAGTGCCACGGACTGCCTCACTTTTTACGCTGTGGTTTAGTTTGCGAGAGAACAGAGGGGAGATGCTACCGCTGAACTTGTCACATAAAACAGCACATGTGCTTTGAGTAGTTAACTTACTACATGAGCACATAGGTCATGGCATTCAGGTTGGTGTTTGCCAGAAAGAATGCCCCTCTTCAATGGAGGAACTTACTGCATACAAAAAATTCTAAAGATAATTTGAAATTCCCAAGGTATTTGGAATAGTCCAGGCTCCAAATATTGTGTTCTGTTGTGCCCAGAAGCATATAAATACTTACAGATCATGTATCCCAGGTTTTCATTCTCAAATATTACCACAGTAATTGTGCAGGATCCTAACCCATGTGGATGAATGTAGAACAGCACCCGGACAGGCTTGTGGCAATTAAACATAGAAAGTGTTTCAAGAGGCATCCATGTTCCTTTGCCAGCATTGTAAGAGTTCCACAATGATTCCCACTGCTGAATTCGTCCTCTCCCCCTTCCCTCTCAGGTGGGAAACAAAATGCCTTTCCACGGCTATTCTTCCCCCATCAGTGACTGTGACAATGCAGAGCGTCCCTACCCTTGGAATAAGAAGAGGTTGACGTAATTGTAGCTCTTGGTGAGGAAGTTCCCCAGGACTCGCGTTGGGTAGCCGCAGCGGATCTGGTAAGCAGACAACCCGAAGTAAACGCACTTCACGAAGTACCAAAGCTGGGCAACCAGGTTCTGGCTGAATTTCCTAGAATGTAAAAGTACAGAAAGTGAAGAAATGAAATACTCGTCTGAAACAAAAGGATGGCAGTGTTGAATTCAAACAACAACAACAGGCCAACAGAATTTCCCCTTCATCGCTCAAACTCAATTCTAATAAACTGTCTACACATAGTGGATCACTTCCAAGGCAAAAGGTGGGATTAAAAAATTCGATAATTAAAGCGATTTCCTGTGAATGGTGCCTTCAATCTGTCTTATACCATTGTTTAGGCCATAATTAAAATAAATTATTAAGCGAATTTACTGATAAAAATTTTCTCACTATGTAGATGACACAGTTACCGTAGTCCAAATTAGGCTCCTGAAAGAAAAAATCTATATACATTATATATGAGATATATTAAAAAATATATCAACACACACACACACACATATATAGAGAGGGAGAGAGAAAGAGAGAGAGAGAGAGGATCCATAATTTGGAGTATGTAGGAGAAAGAATTCTGATAGGTGGACTCTCAATTTCTTTTTATTACACATTATAAAAATAGGCAATGGATTAAAACCTCTGGAAACCCCCGGATTTGGTTCCAGTTCTGTCTGTATGTTATGGGGTATGTTTTCCAAGCCATCATTTCTCAAGACATCAGTGTCTTCATTTGGCAATTCTTCCTAGTTCTGCAAATCTGTAACTCCATGGCCTAACCTTTACTTATTTTTAAAGACTTCATCAACAATACAGATGGTAGTCTTTTCTCCAGGTGAACAGTGAAGCGACATAGTATTGAATAGTTCAGGACTGCTAGCGCAAGCTTGAAAAAAAATAGTAGAATTAAATTTCACACTAGAAAAAAAATCTGGAATATAATTTCAAAGAATGATGAGCTATAGGACCACTTTAAACTTTGGATAAATGTAGCATTCTCCAAATGTCTTAAACATAGTCAGTACAAATTTTAAAAAGGAAATAAAAAGAAAACTTTTGACTTGGTGAGCGTTTGGTATAATCTTCTCTGTCCTTAAAATTAAGATCTATACTTGAAGGTTTTGATACAAGCAGCGTATTTCTCTCTGTGCCATATTTTGGATTTGTCTTCTCCCTCCTTCCCTCCCTCCCTGCCTCCCTCCCTCCCTTCCTTCCTTTCCTTTCCTTTTCTCTCTCTCTCTTGCCCACACCCCCACGGAGATACCTAATGGTTCCAGCACCATTTGCATTTGTTGAAAAGACTGTTCTGTCTTCACTGGATGGCCTTTGCACCTTCCCTACATCAGCTGAATTGGGACTGTGGGTCCACTACTTCTGGACTCTGTTCTGTTCCACTGTTCTGTTCGTCTGAATCTCGAGGCTACACCTCACTGCTTGATCATCACAGCTTTATAATAATGCTTGAGGTCAGGAAGAATAAGTGCTCCAATACTGTTCTTTTTCAAAGTTATTTCAGTTCTTCAAGATCTTCTGCAATTCCATATGAATTTTTATCAGCTTACCAAATTCTACCAAAAAATCTTGCTGGAATTTTGATGTGCACTGCGGTCAATCTATAGATCAATTTGGGGAGAAATTGCATCTCCCAAAATTCATGAGAAATTCACAAGTATTTTGATGCATGAACTTAAGTCTTCTTGATTTATTTAGGCCTTCTTTAATTTCTCTCAGCCATGCGTTTTATATTTTCATTGTAAAAATCTTGTACATGTTTTATCATATTTATCCCTAAATATGATAGTTTTTTGTATTTTCAGTGGTATTGTAAATAGTATTCTTAAAAATTCAAATTATTGAGCATTTACTGCTTGCATATAAAAATACAATTGAGTTTCATATGTTTGTTTTGTATCCACAAACTTCCAAAGTTCATTTATAACTTCTGACAGCCTTATTGTAGATTCCACCGGATTTTCTATATAGACTGTCATATCTGCTGCATGGTTTTACTTCTCGCTTTCCAATCTGGATTTTGTGTGTGTGTGACTGAGTCTCACTCTGTCGCCCAGGCTGGAGTGCAGCGGCGCGATCTCAGCTCACTGCAACTTCTGCCTCCAGGGTTCAAGCGATTCTCCTGCCTCAGCCTCCTGAGTAGCTGGGTAGCTGGGACTATAGGTGTGCAACACCACATATGGTTTTTTTTTTTTTTTTTCTTTTTCTTTTTTTTGTAGAGATGGGGTTTCACCATATTGGCCAGGATGGTTTGGTCTCTAACTCCTGACCTTGTGATCCTCCTGGCCCAGCCTCCTAAATGCTGGGATTATAGGCTTGAGTCACCGTGCCCAACCCAATCTGGATGTCTTTTATTTTTACTTATTTTGCTGGCCTGGGATTAGGATCTAGTATCACCATTCACTGGCTGAATGACTTTGGGGAGATCACTTTTCTTTCTGGGGTGTATCTATCTTAATCTGCAAAATTAGATAATAGGCTTGGAAAGTGTTTTAAGATGTCTTTCTTCTCTGAAATTAACAGTTTCTGTGAGGGTTCGTGAAGAAAGCCGACATGATGTTGTTAAATATCAGAAAAAGTATTTAAGTTCATCATTCAGATACTTCAGGTGTTGAATTTGGTTTATTTCTCTGATTTAAGAGGGGCAGATATAATTAAATATTTGTACTGAAAAATATATTTTATGTATTCTATTTTAAATACCAACAAATAATATTCACAAAACTCTCCTGGAAAAAAATTATAATATTTGTACAAGCAGTGGCCTTCATCTGAATTATTATTACAGCCTGGGCTATATTTAATCTCCCAATATATGGTGTGGAATGGAGAACTTATTGGGCTATTGTGTATCCTCTGGGTAACAATCCTTTATTTATTTACTTCTACTGTAGACTCAGGAAAAAGTATCCTAATTCTACTTTCCTTTAAAAATATCTGCATTGTCACCATTTATTATTATAAAGCAAGAATTCTTATACTGAAATCGAAACGTCAGAACCTATACACTCAGACAAAAGCAGCCATTAGGCTCTAGCTACTGTTAGAAACAATTTGGATTTTCTTAATAGAAATTACACTTGAACTGGTTTATTTATAAGCCACATACGTAAAATCCATTTTTTTCATTACTTTCTATTCATACTTCCCAAATGATATTAACCTGCCTGTTTGATAATGTTATTCGTAAGACTTGGCTACAAATGACTCGGAGGTGTGATCAAAAGATCAAATTTACTGTTAAGCATGAAGACTTTTCAGAGATACTTGAGGATGTTTAAAATAGTACATCATTGACCGGGCACAGTGGCTCATGCCTGCAATCCTAGTACTTTGGGAGGTCCAGGCAGGAGGATTGCTTGAGGCCATGCCTTTGAGACCAGCCTGGGTAACATAGTGAGACCTCATCTCTACAAAAAATGAAAATAAAAAATAGTCAGGAGTGGTGATGTGCACCTGTATCCCCAGCTGGTCTGGAGGCTGAGGTGGGAGGACTGCTTGAGCCCAGGAGTTCAAGGTTGCAATGAGCTATGATCATGTCACTGCCCTCTAGCCTGGGAGACAGAGTGAGATTTTGTCCCTAAAAACAATAAACAAAAAAAAAAAAAAAAAAAAAAAAAAGCTAGCATGTCGTAATCTGGGAGCACAGTTCCAGAGGAGACTTTCAGAGCCACAGCAGATGACAGCAGCTTCACTGGATTAGGTACGTGGCTCCCCAGGCCAGTGACGAAGAGTTGTAGTTTGCTTGTGTACATAAAATCAGATATGCTTATTAAAAATTTCTATTCCTACTACATCATATGGACAGGGCCACATTCACCTTCTGCGGAGCCTTTTCTTTCATAGCCTGACAGAGCAGACACTTCCCATTTACAAAACTCCACTGTGTTTTTCTTTGCCGACCTGAGCGGATCGTTTGTTCACGCATGAGCACCAACAGTCATGAGCACTGTTTTGCCTGGAGGCGTGGGGTGGGAGACGGTCTATAGAGAAGTGTCATCTGAACAGCGATCTGGAGCGTAAGGAGGAAGTAGACTTTGGGTTGGAGGCTGGGGAGGAGGCTCAGAGGGAGCAGAGCTTGGAGATGCCAGGCACACTGGGGAACTGTAGGTCAACAGCCTTTCCTTAGGGTTCTAGGAGAGGGAAGCACAGTGGCCACTTTGAAGGATCTTACCAGCCCTTTCCTGACAGCTTCTGGCCGCCCTGACCAGCAGCACTAGTTGTATTAACAGCAGCAGAGTCCAGCAGGATGGGTCTGCCTGCTTCTCTTACCATGAGCTGAGACACTGCTTGGTGCTTTCAAACCCCGCTGCAGTTAACCCCCACCAGTCTCCTATGCGGAGACTCTATCATCTGCTCCCCATCCCGCTCCCTCTATCTCTTCTTCTATCCATTAAGCAGCCTCCATTTGTTCATCTATTTCTTGCACGACTTAGTCTTGTGCCCTCTCTCCCTCTCAAAAATGCCCCCAAGACCACACTCCACTTTACCTCCACCTCTGCTAAGGAGTAGAGAGAAACACAGCACAAAGACCCTAGGTTTGCTCTGGTCATAAAGGCTGTCACCTTTCTTATTTATAGGAACCTTATTTCTACAAATGTGGATAAAATCTAATTAAAATATTTTTGAGGAATCAGTTCACACTTTAGATGTGCATTGACTGTTGACCCAAACCTTTAGCTTTTCCTACCCGTAGCGCTGCTGTGCCAAGGCTCTGCCTGTGGCGGGCAGTTCTGCTGTGCAATGCACGTGAGTATCACCTCAGGAAACACAGTTGCATGGAGGTGGGCTGGTGCCTGCGGCTTCTGAAGACCTTACCTCTCAGTCACACCGGGTAAGATGAAGAACATCCAGAAGTGAATTCCGAACACAAGAATGACCTGGAAGATGACCTTTCCCAGTACAGTCTTCCTGAGGTAGAGGGCTCGGTCCACCACCATGGTTCCAAACTGAATGAGGACCATCACCAAAAACGGCCCTGGGACCTGGTCCTCCGACAGTGAAGAGGTGATGTCTGCAGCTGCTGAGTGTTTCTGGGGAAGAGACAACAAGTTCATGCCCAAGAGAGGCAATTCCCGGGAAGAAGCGCCATCGCTGTGGGTCAGGGCGGGTGCTGTGGCCTCTCCCCCAACCTACCCCAAAGGCCCAAAAGCCGAAGACAATGATGATGAAGTCCACAGTGTCAGCCAGGAACATGAGCACATACACGTCAGTCACGGCGCTATAGTCCGGGTGGATGAGGTTGTAAAAGAACTGTTTGATGGGCACGTAGATCTGCAGCGTCCTGCAAGATGGAGACCCCCACCCCCAACCCACTTGTTTCAGGAAGGGCAGGATGACAGAAATGACCAGACACTGCCATCGTGCCATTCCTCCGCATTCTCCTTTCCAGTCAGGTCCCACCTTCCTCTCTCTGCCTCAGGATAGCCCCGCTGTGGACGGCTCCTGTTTTAACGGACAGCGTATACATGTTTACTGCCAAGATAGATACTGCAGCCCTCTCTGCTGATGGCACCACAACCCTCTCCTCTTGCTTGAAGGATAATAGAACGGTATGATGCCCTGGGAACGAGGTGTTGGGTTTGTAGCCTGATTCAATTGCTCACTACCTGCAAGAACCAGGAGCATGCCATGCAACCTCTGTGTTTAGTTTTCTCATCCGTAAAACTGGAGTGATAAGAAGACCTGATGCCTAGGGCCAAGGTGGGAAGTAAAGGAGGGAATGCATGAGGTGCTCACACTTGGAGTGCTTGGTCCGTGTGTGTCTGAACGTGCGATGTCCCTGCTCCTCCTGTTTTAGGGCCTGTGTCCATCATGGCTCCCACATACTGCCCTGGCCTTTTATCTGTGCCTTGTTCTGTGCCTCAGTGCGGTGTCCTGCTGGCTCTTGCTCCTCTGTCTAGCCTTTGCCCTATCTTTGCTCTGGGACCTGCCTTCAGTTCAATGCCACGTTCGGGTGCCACTGGCTCTCCTGCTCTCGGAGTCTCTGTTCAGGGCTCCACTCCCAGCTGGCAGTGCCAGTCCCATGCACCACTTCCATCCCCAGCAGGTGGAGGGACCTGTGTCGTTTGCTGGGGAACAGGTGTATGGCCACGGACAAAGCATTTCCCCACCGTGCACTTCTGTCCCCTTCTCAGGGTAAGAGTGCAGCTCTAAGGCCCTTCCAGCATTGACACTGTAGTCCTCTCAGTCTGGCTGGACTTCCCCATGATAATGCCTAAGAGTACAATCCATGAGCCCTTGAAATGACTCATTTTCTCTGTTTGAATAGAAAAAGCATGTGCATAAATGCAATGGATATAAAATGAATCACGCTTACGGAAAAATGATTTTTAAAAACAAGACAAAAAGGGGTAATTTCATTCTGCCTTATACAGGTAACATTTGTGACATGAGAAGTTACTTCTCTGCTCTTTGCCCCTGGTTTATAGGAAATAATAAAGCCCAAAACCGTAAAATAAAGCTCACATGCCAAATGTTCTCATGGACTCACTTCTTTATGGTAAAGGCCTTTGCTTTGATTAAATGTTCTTGAAGCTTTTCCATATAAAGTTCCCTTTTGCTTTTTTGCTTAATACTCAAAACGCTGCTTCCTTTCTGACTGCTGTTTCGGGTGCTTGTGCTGCCTAGAAATAAAAAGAGATCAAAGATGGATGGTGAAGCCCGGGGTTTGTTCGCCTAAATATCCCAGAAGCAGCCCTCAGAGCCCACACGGTGGAGGGACAGCTCGGCACTGTTTGGGAGGATAAGTATGCACGGATGCATTTATGAACGATTACTGAGCCCTTTGGGATCTGTCCTCTCAACTCTGCTCCCATTGTAGGCCTGTGGGGTTTAACACCCCGTGGCGGCTCTTTCCTGGATTGTTACGCAATCTTTGTTTCAGAAGTAAATAAACTGGAAGGATAGTTTTTATTGTGCTAACTGGGGTACTAGGATGCAGGTGCTCCAGACAGGATGCCCCATGTCTGTTTTCCTATCCTAGTTTCTCTAATTATAAAATGAACATGACATAATCTGCCAGTATCTGCCTCAAAATCAGGTTCTGAAGATGACTATACACCACTGCATGGAAAGCTTCAGACAGGAGCCCCGTAAATACAAAAGCTTCAGACAGAAGCCCCATAGATACAAAAGCCTAGTGATTCCAAGAGGGGCAGCTGTGAGGCGTATCTACTTTCTGATCATACTTGTTGTTTAGGAAAAAATTAATTATTAGACTAGGAAATAACCGTAGTTTGGCTAAAAGTTCTCATCAATTACATCTAAATCTGTTTAAAAAATACAGTGTGATTGACAGCACTCTGGACATGCCCTGCAAATTTTTCACATGTAACAAAAATTATCATGAGCCTCGCGTTTATCAGGTACAAGGCAGTGTGCCGGCCATTTTTCACAATTATCTGAAACCTTTGTCCTGAGATACAATAAGGTGTTTTGGGTAATGGGGTGACACAGCTGAGGCGGGATTTGAACTCGAGTTTGTCTGATTTCAAAGCCCTTGTCTTTTCACATAACAACGTCTGTCTTTTGATAGCACCCAGTACACTCCCTTGCCCCAGACCCACAGGCACGAGAAAAACGAGGCCACCTGGGGCCTAACTGCAGCCTAGATACATTGTGTTGACAGCTACCTCTTTGGGATCTGTTTGAAGAAAAGCTGGATCTCTGGGATGGCTCGGAGTTGCTGCTGGAGCGCTTCCTCCGGACAGCTGTCTGCTGCTCCGGGAAGGTCACATGCACTGACTCCACGGATGCGGCCAGGTTGATGGACTTGAGAGAATCCGAGGAGTCCCTCCTGCCATGACCGAGGGAGAGCTCATCATCTGATTCCTCCTTGTCCATGCCACTTTCAGTCATGTCATCTTCATCCCACAAGCCGTGGCACTGAGAAAGCAGGGACAGGGACAAATGAGGCTACTATTTCAGGTGGAACCCTTGGTATTCTGTCTTACAAAATCTCATCCAACAAACTGTCCTTCAAGATTAGAAAAACAGGTGACAGGGTTTGGCTGTGTCCCCAGATCTCACCTTGAATTCCCATGTGTTGTGGGAGAGACCCGGTGGGAGGCAACTGAATCATGGGGGCAGGTCTTTCGCATGCTGTTCTCATGGGAGTGAATAAGTCTCATGAGATCTGATGGTTATAAAAAGGGGAGTTTCCCTGAACAAGCACTCCTCTCTTTGCCTGCCACAATCCAAGTAAGATGTGACTTGCTCCTCCTTGCCTTCCGCCATGATTGTGAGGCCTCCCCAGCCATGTGGAACTGTAAGTCCATTAAACCTCTTTCTTTTGTGAATTGCCCAGTCTCAGGTATGTCTTTATCAGCAGCATGAAAATGGACTAATACACAAGAAAAGAAAGCTTGTCTAGAGCTTTATGAGGGTCCCAGTAGGGAAGAGATGTGTGGGTGTAGACAATAAGATTTTAGCTGATAATTAAGATGGAGACAGATAGCTTTTGGCAGACGGACTAAGGATGAAATTACAGTGACTTGACTTATTGGACGGAAAGTCACCCTGATGACCTCGCTGCTGTCGGACAGAGCTCTCCCCTGAGCTTTTTGTCTGGCCATGCATGTGCTCCCCAAGACATTGCCTAGTCCTCTCTCTGACTCATACGTGGAGGACAAGAGCTCCAGGCCAATTTGTCAGAAATCAGTTGGTCAAAACCAATTCCGAGAATGATCAATGCACCAGTCACTCAATTGACAGATGATGATTTTTTTTTTTTTTAAAGACGGAGTCTTGCTCTGTCGCCCAGGCTGGAATACAGTGGCGCGTTCTCGGCTCACTGCAAGCTGCACCTCCCGGGTTCACGCCATTCTCCCACCTCGGCCTCCCAAGTAGCTGGAACTGCAGGTGCCCACCACCTCACCCAGCTAATTTTTTGTATTTTTTTAGTAGAGACGGGGTTTCACCATGTTAGCCAGGATGGTCTCGATCTCCTGACCTCGTGATCTGCCAGTCTTGGCCTTCCAAAGTGCTGGGATTACAGGTGTGAGCCACCACGCCCGGCCTGACGGATGATTCTTAAATATTTATTTGTAAATGTGTTATTCTTAAACATATTCAATGAATATATTCTTATAAACCTAACAAACATTTTAGCTTTTCATAATGGGATTTTTCAGTTTATATCGATTTCTTCCCAATTATTTTAAGAGTTGTTTCCTCTTTGGCCAACATTCATATATTTAGATTATTTCACAACTTTCTCGTAGTATATTTACTTGTTTGCCAATTCTTCTAAGTATTTATCAAATATACAGCAATTTGTATTAAATAGGATGGTTTCAAGCACTTTTGAAATTTCTGCAGCTTTAATTGTTTGGTTTTCGTGGCAACATTATATGAAAGATTTATTTTTTCAAAAGCTATGGGGTACCTTGTCTTCTTAAGAAAAGATTTATCATTCTAAAAAGTATTTTTATATCTTTAATTAAAATTTTAACATAATGCCATTACCTCAAATCTCATATACATTCATATATTTGAAATTTTCAGAAAAAGAGTAAGAACATCAATAAGAAACACCAAGATTTTATATGTTTTAAATATAAAATTGCAGCAGTTAAGTCATTTGAACATTGATGAAAAGATAGTAAAAGTGCCTAAAGAGTTATAATAATTTTAAATGATACAAAAGAATGCAAAGGTTGCAAGAGAATTCTGAAGTGATCAAAATTACACCATCAAGTATTAAATACCAAAATTTAAAAAATGAATTTCTAAGACTGAAAAAACAAGGTTAATACATTTATTCATATGTTCATAATAAAAGTCAGTATACTAAATAAATTCAAGTAATTAACATATCCATCAAAAGAACGGTGGCTAACTGGTTTCCTTAGATACATCGCTTTAAAAAACCTGCCACACCCCAACGACCCAGCTAAGGCTCCCTCCAAACTGAGGTCTTGGGTACTTTGCAGAGTGATGGAAGCTAGAGTGAGGAGGTTGACCAGAGTACACTCAGATGAAACCGAGTTTGAAATAGCTCACTGAGCTAGGACAGAAGAAGTTAAAACATACTGTTACATATCTATGTGTGCATGTATGTATACGTACGTGTATGTATTAACTTATGCCAAGCCTTGTTCTGAAAAGGATTCTAGGGACTAAGAAAGATACTCCTGGATAAAAGGAATTTACAATATTTTATATAAGACATAAGGTTAAGGTGAGAGAAGGAAAGTAAGGTTGTAACAAGAGGTACATTCATACATAAAATGTACGCTATGCAATAATTTCTATTTATTAGAATTAAGTGGCATATTTACAGGTTTAGTTTATAGTTCACAGCATGTGAGAAGGAAAAACACATGAAGTTGCTCAGAAGGACAGGAGTCCCTGAGGCTGAGGCAGGGCCATGCTGTATAAAGGTCCTCGTCCAGCAGGATCATGAGTGGCCTCCTCCACAATAAGCAGGAGAAAACACAGCTCTGGGTTTCAGTGGGCAAGTTAATATGTGGTCTCTCACCAACAGCTAATGGTTTCATGACAAGAAACTACCCAATGAAAGCAATTCTGCTAGAAGGAGGGAGGCTGAAGCTGGGATGGAGATGAGACAATATGATCCACGCACATTGTGGCTCTCCGATGCTCTGGCTTAAACCGGAGGCAGAATTTAGTGTATCTGGCCTTAGAATACTGCACATCATTCAAGCAATGTTCCACAAAGTGGATTCATGATTAGGCATTTAACCTAGGTTGGAAACATGGGGAAATATTCTCCCAGATTTATTGTAAGTTCCGTTATTGAGTACCACGAGTGTTGGAAAAAATGTCCACTAAATGAATGTAACTTTTTTTCTTTTCTCTTTTAAAACAAACAAACAAACAAACAAAAAAACATATGAGTAGATGCCAACCACCAGCCCCTCAGCCCCATCACCAATCCCGATGTCCAGGTCACCTAGGACGATTACAGGGACTGCAATGGCCTACTTGAACTGATTGTTAACATGCAGTACCTTCAAAATCGATCGATGAAAGAACAGAGCCAGGAGCTGGATGAGGTCATAAAGGACATAACCTTCCTTCTTCTCCACTCCTATGATGTTTGGGGGGTGGAACGGTTTATCTTTGTTCACCTCCGCGTTCTTATTCCAGGGAAAGAACCCAAACTGGAAGAAATACTTGACTACAATTGCCACCTACACACAGATGACAGAAATTTAAAACATTACTCCTTCTTTTAGGAACAGATATACCTGTATATTGGAAAGAGCAATACGACAATTAAGAAAGAGACCCGCATTTCACAGTTTTGATGGTAGGAAAGCACAGAATTCTGTGCAATAGTAAAGCATCATTCTCGCAGACTCTCGACTTCACAGCAGAAGCAGTGCCTGACTGTCACAGTGTCTTCCACTGTAGGTCTAGCAAGGCCAGTCGCACGCCTCAGGCCACTGCTTTGATTGGTCACTTCCTCTTCTTTTGAGGTGTTGGCATTTATACTGATTTAATTAGATATTGATGTAATTACACAGCTATTAAATGTTATTTAGGGAAACCTGAACAGAACATACTCGTATCTTTCTAGTTTCTGTACTTCTTTAATTTGCAATCTATCACATGGTTATGATGTATGTAGTTTTCACTTTCCTCATCATATCTGTGTGCCACGTTAGTCTGGGAGCCACTAAAAAACAGAAATGCATATTTGCTTTCTATTCATCTTTGTATTTTGGTGTGTAGCAGGGTTCTTGGTTTCTGACACGTGGTTTGTATTATAGAGCAAATCAACATTAAGAATTTCCCGCTTACTTCAGTCCTCAGTGCAATGTGACAAGAAAAGGGAGAGCCTTAACTTAACTTATATAGAAATATTTTATTTTATATTTTTTAGAGATGAGGTCTCAATCTGTTGCTCATGGTGGAGTGCAGTGGCACAATCATAGCTCACTGCAACCTCAAACTCCTGGGTGCAATCCTCCCACCTCTGCCTCCCAAGTAGCTTGGACTACATACAGGTGTTTGTACACCATGCCTGCCTAATGTTTTTTACTTTTTTGTAGAAATGGGGTCTCGCTATGTTGCCCAGGCTTGTCTTGAACTCCTGGCCTCAACTATCCTCCTGCCTTGGCCTCTTGAAGTGCTGGGACTATAGCCAGAAATATTTTATTTTTAAGGTGAAAGCTATACAAGAGTCTCTTGTTCACTTTTCCACATTCTTGGTACTTCCTCTTACTTCAGCCCTAGGTAAGAAAGGGAATCTGATAAATGTACCCACATTGTTACAGACTGGCACCCATTCTCTAAACGGGCAGTCATTTACATCCTGAAGCGATGTTACTCTTTATTTTCCTTATGGAAGTAAGATGCATGCTATCAATACTTTAAACCAAATACTTTTGAGATGCTTTACCGTATAGCTTTGTTTTAATTTTGCTACTGAATTACTTATAACCTACAAAACTTCTAGGCCTTGGGTGTGCATCCAGCACGAGCACTGTCATTTAAGAAGTAATTACAGCACTGCTGAAAGTGAAAACTTGTCCTTACAAATCAGGGAAGAAAATCCGTCTCTTCGCAAACCTGGGAACACAAAGCACCATGGTTGTCCAGGCACCAAGAATATCGAGCTTTTTTGTTGTTTAAGTCCCTGGATGGTTTTCAGGGGCATTCGTGATCCTGTCTATGTTGAACAGGTCAGGACAGAAAGCAGGAACATAAGAGTGAGCAGAAGGCTCCTCATACCCCACATGGGATGAAAACGGGCTGGCATCCACCCTTCAGACACTAAGTGGGTGCTTATACGATTTTGCGACACATGGATATTTACTTTTGCGTTTAAAAATGAAAAGTATGTGTGATATATTCAAACTACGTCCAAAGTGCCAGAAGATATCATTTAACACAGGGTCCATTCACTGAACCCCCTGTGACGCCAGGCATTGCGCTCGACGCTGCAGAAACCTGTAGGCATCTCAGTGGTTAATATTGTAGGTCAGGCAACCAGGCTTCAAAAGTGTCCCCACCCCTCACCAGTTGGGCAACGTTGGCCATTTAATCTCATTGATACTGTGTCCTTATCTGTTAAAGGGGATTAAGCCAGTACCTACCGTATGTGAGGTGTGAAGTGTGAACAGAGTTTTAGAATTGTGAGTGCTAGGTAATTGCTGCTGCTGACGATTTGTGTATCTAAGAATGTCTATGGAACTGCATGTTCCATGTGAAACTGGGATCAGGGCAGGCCCACCTCGAGAGAGGGCACAGGGACACAAGGTACGCTTGACCTTGCATAGCCGCCTGAAGCCATCCACAAGGGTCTGCGTCCAGGCCTACCTCGGTATAGACAATGGCCATCATCCAGAATCGGCGGCTGGGCCTGGGGACGGACAGCATGGCCCAGAGGAAGATGAGGATGGGAAGCAGGAGCGTGATCATGGAGGCAGAGACCATGTGGTTGAGGATGATCACGAAGTAGCACACCATCTCTGAGCGGGCCACCAGGGTATTATACATGGCATAGAAGAGCAGCAGAAATCGGGGCTGCCCCACGTAGAATTTTTCAGACTCTTCAAGCTCATCATCGTGAAACATCCTGTTAAAGTAAACCACATGATAATATGTCTCTCTTTTTTTTTTGAGACGGAGTTTTGCTCTTGTTGCCCAGGCTGGAGTGCAATGGCACGATCTTGACTCACCACAACCTCCGCCTCCCAGCCTCAAGCAATTCTCCTGCTTCAGCCTCCTGAGTACCTGGGATTACAGGTGCCCACCACCACGCACAGCTAATTTTTTCTTTTTTTTTGTATTTTTAGTAGGGAGGGGGTTTCACTATGTAGGCCAGGCTGGCCTTTAACTCCCAACCTCAAGTGATCCACCCGCCTCAGCCTCCCAAAGTGCTGGGATTACAGGCATGAGCCACCATGCCCGGCCATGCCTGTCTTTAATTTCTCCAAATCACTGATTTTCATTTAGCACCATCCTCCCTGCTGTGTCCCCCACTTCCTATGTCCCCGTTTTTCCTTCAGAGACAACCTAATATCAGACTTTATGATAGAAAGAAATGTCAACACAAGGCTCTGGGTTTTGCTGGTTCTAGAACCAGTCATGGAGTTTGCTTTGTACTTGCAATGCAAGGAGTCTTGGAATTGTCTGTCTCCTCTCAGTATCTAGGTGAACTTTTTTCTGTATATGAATTTTTCTGTATACAGAATGAGGGCATATATTTAAGTGGCGATTCACGATACGTGTCTGACCTGCTCGCTGGACCCTTACTTGTTCAGCAGCAGCTCGCTGGCCGTCAGCTCATGCGTCAGGGGAGGTAAGATGCTGGACCCCAGCTTGTCGGTGCGGCTGTCGTCCGGGCTGACGGCCATGTGGTTCTTGCCTGCGGAGTCGTCCTGCGAGCCGAAGGACAGATGCTCGAAGCTCACAGCCTTGCTGTAGGAGGGTGGGGCCTCCACGTCCCCGTCCAAGGTGGAGAACTGTGTCAGCTCTTCCTCTGGGGTGAGGCTGGCCTCCTCAGCACCCATGGCTCCCACATCGTACCCGGTGGCCTCGTACTCCTTGGCCTCCCTGGGCTCAGGCACCGTGCTCCCTGCCTCTTCCTCCTGCTCAGCCTCCACCTCCTCAATGGTCTCAGTGGTCCCCTGGCGTGAGTACAGCATGGTGCACTGCGTGGGCTCGCTGTTGGGAGAAAGGGTGGGCACAGAGCCCCTGTCTTAGCATCCACACTCCTGGGGCTCTTTCCCATTCCTGAGAGACCTCATCAGAACTCCTAAGGAAATGCCCCATTTTTCCCCCCTGCATTCCATCTGCTTTGTTCTTTCGGTATAATCACTCCTGTTCAGCAGACACTGCAGACAGCAGCCTCTCCAATGCAAATGTTGACAGTGCACACACACAGTTTAGAACCAGAGCCAGTCACATGGCTCTCAAAGAGCAGAACCCGCCCTCGTAACAAGTGTGGAGTATCCAGATTCACAGCCTCGGATTCCAGAGTCTGTTTCCATATCAACAAAGTACAGTTTACCCACTGCTCTGTCTGCTTCAAGGCGGGGGCACCCCTGCAGGGGAGAAGCTCTGAAGGTTTTGACCAAGAGCTAAGTCTTAGCAAATAGCTATTCTACCCTGCATCCTGCACAACAGACCCACCCAGACCATAAGCGGGGAATGGGAATGATTAAATATTGGCTACACTGGACAGCTGTGTGCTTGATAAAACATGCCAGCCTTCTGTCATGTTTATTCTTCCTGCTTTTCCATCCTTTGCCTTTTTTGCATTTCTGTGCATCCCGTCTGTGGAATCGCCACCCTCATCCCAGCTCCCTGCACTGTGGCCAGGGCTTCCCCTTCCACACGGGACTCCAGCCACTCTCTCCCCACGCGAGCTCTCCTTGGCCCTTCTCCCTTCCAGCTGCCCACTCCACCCCAGGGTGCGCTTCTGTTCTTTCCTCCCGACTACTTTACTTATCTTCTCCTACCAGTTCCTCTTTGAGCGCTCCTTTTCCAGAAGCTTCTCTACTCTCATCCTCACTCCCTGCCTTTGGCGTTCTGTTCTTTTTTCTCGTATCCTTTGTCTCCTTCTTTTGTTCCTATATTCTTTTAACTTTCCCTGTCAGATCCATGCAGACAAGGTTGGCCAATGACAAGAGGGCAGCCAGTGACATTCATGGCTTGCTCTGCCTCAGACACATCCAGCCAAGGAGGGGAGAGGGGCAAAATCCACCTGGAGACTGGGAATCTGTCTTGGATGTGGGAGGATGTGTTAGACTCTGAAATATGTACTCTTATCTGAATGGCATGTGTGACCACCTGGGTTCCATAAACACTGAGATTCTCAAATGCATAGACTGCACCCATGTTTCTTGTCACAGACACCAGTATGGACATATGGATGAGTGAACGAATGGATGAACCTTGGCACAGCCGTTCACGGCATCCTGTGACTGAAGAACCAGATGGGCCTGAGCTTTTGATGCCCGCTCAGGTGTTCAGAATCCCCAGGGCTGTGTCCTTGAGTGCGCACATCATGGAGGGGCTGCTGAAATGCCAGGCCAAACCCGATTTTTGCTAAGACTTACCTCAATTAGATATACCTCCTAGGAAGGCCATGCCATTGACCCATTGCCCAGGCAACTTCCAGACCACTGGAGCCAACCCCACACCAGGTCTCACGGCTATTAAGACCGTCATCAATCCTAATCATGCTTGCTTTGGTTTGGATCTCCTGTGGCACCAAGGGGCGGAGAGTACCTTCAGAGGTCAAGAAAATGGACTGGCACGGCAGGCACATGCCCACCAGAGGACTTTGTCAAATGGCCAAGGCATTCCCATCAACGCCAGTGCCAGCGTACTGCAGGGCTGCACGGAGATATACAGCTGCCAGAGAAAAGAAGATGCCCTCTGACTTGCCACTGTGAGCAGTCAAAATGTAACTTGTTTTGGATTGGGCTGTTTTCATGTTAGGAGAAGCACAGTGTAGCTGCTGAGTTCAGTGTCTCCCCCGACCATCCTAAGGCAATTCAAAAAGAGTTTTCGGGTTGTATGCAAATAATTTTATTTCTAAATGAATACTGTTTTAGGGTAGGATTTCAGAGAACTTAAGCCACAGTAATTTTTTTCCCCAAAATAAAAGTTACAGGCTACAAAGGTGATGCACTCTGCTGCATAATACGCTTTTTAAAAACCAACGGTAAACTATATTCTGACTTTTAGGTCAATTAGGCAAATAACATGCAGACTTATTCAATATTCACTGAAAATGACTACCTACGACAGATTTTTAGTTTTCTTCCTACTGCATGCATCTTTTGATTAAATGATGAGAAGAAGTTTTCTACCTTCGCAAACAGAGTTCCCCTTTGAGCAGTGCCCACAGAAGCTCTAAGTTATGGAGGAAACATGCGTATGTCTCTGAAAATGGAAAGTGTGAAATACTGAAAACATGGAGGAGAATGTTTGTGATAAGGATTTTTAAAGAAACTCCTAACAGACAAAAACTAAAGAGCGGTTAGTTTAATATAATGCTGTCCTGAGAACAATTACATCTCAGAGAGGGCAGTGGTTATGCTTCTGTCAGTCATGCAGATTCTTAAAATAAAAATGAAATAAAAACATACGTCACAAGAACTTGTATTTGCAATGACATAAAGGGGGGAAGAGGTGATTAAAATGACAGAACAAAGCATGCACAAGTTAAGCACCTTGATGCTAAACTGCCACTGTCAGCTGATGAGGAGGACATATCCATGCTGAGCATTTTACGGAGCCTAGGCCGAGCACGCTCACTTGTTTTAGGAATTTCTTGTCCATCTAAATCATCAAGGGTGGACTGCCTTGAGAACAGCATGGTTGCTTCAGTGTAGCAGCTAGCAGCGCAAACAGTTACAGAAACACAGTGTTAAAACACCAAGTTGTACACATCAGGTTATACACGGATCGACTGACCAACCCACTGCCATGCAGCAAACCACACATGACACCAACACCACCGACAAGGAAGGCCACCGCAGCGGGGCTCGGGCACGGGGAAGGACCTGTGTGCACGACCTTGAAACACACGAGTACTGGATTTTAAAAAACATATTGGCTAGTGACACGTTACAAAACGGAACTCTCTGGGTGGGACTAAGGAATGACGAGTCCCAATATTTTTCTCACAAAGTATAATGTATGTAATTATAACTTCGTAACAGAGGGTTTTTTTAAATGAAAGAAAATATGCTTTATTTGGAGCTTGCAGTCCTGAGTTAAGAGCATTTATTAACCAATTTGCTTAAAAAGAAATAACTGCTCATGTAGAATTTACATAAAATATTTCAATCTTTTTTTTTCTTTCTAAAACAGAGTCTTCAGAATTAGAGAGGGGAAACTCAGGAATGACAACAAACTGAATTTTGCACCCCAGTTTTGGAGTGATATTCAGTTAAGCCAAATGAGATGCTCTGCATGTAGTTGGGATGCTGGTTTAATATGCAGTGGATATAAACCAACATCAGAAATAAAATAAAAGGCTGTAAAGGAAAGAACAAAGGAACTTGAGCAATGGCAAGGTCATTTTGTCTGTTAACTTTTCATTTTGCCTAATTTTTCTTCTGGATCATGTTTTAGGGCTTGGTGGATGCCATGATGGACAGAACCCACTGCCTAAAATCCTCATCTCCTGGTACCCAATGGAGCAGTGACTGGCGAAGGAGGATGGCAGACCCAGGCCTAGGATGTTGCTGGGTGAGGATGCTCATGAGAGGAAGCACACAGAGGTGTGACACAGGCATCGTTTCAGTTCCCACACATGGTTCAACCCCAAAGAGGGACAGATAGCCCAAAGATCCTCTAGAGAAAGCAACCGGAATACTTATCTTCCAACTTGAGTGCTCATGGGCTGGCTGACCCAGGGAACAGAAACAGACCCTTAGAGATACAGGATGCCTGATTTCCAGGCTGAACGTGGTAGGCTGAACACTGTCATTAAGTGAACTCACTAGGAGAGTACTAGGTGCCTGGCCTGCACAGCCATACACTGTCAGTCAAGGATCCTGAGGCAGGATGGAGGACGTTCAGGATGCAGTGACCACTGCAGGCCTGGGAGGAGCGAATTTGAGTTACTCACTCATGGAACCTGTTAAAAGAGTTTTTCAGGTCCCATGTGCTGGAGCACAAGCCATAACTGCTTCAGTGGGGCTGGCCATGCTGCTGTGCATGTCACAGCTACGTGGCCAAGACAGGGGCAGGCAGTGAGGGCGATAAGCCTGTGAGCAACAAAAACACTCTCTAATAAGGACATGGAGGCTGGTTTTGCTTTGTTTTGTTTTGTTTTGCCCCAACTCCTTTAGATGTCACCATGTCACCACGTCCTGGATAAAATGAGGAGACAATGACAAGATAAATAGAACAGCATTGGATGAACACAGTGAGGACTAGGATGCTGACATTAACTGGATATTGGGTTTTAGACGAATCAGTGCCCCTTTCTGGGGCCCCAATTTTATATTTCTGGATGAGGGGACTTTGCACTTCTGTATTTCATTTAATATTTACAGAGATGTAACCCCATAGCCTGTACAGTCTCCTGCAGCTTTGCTCAGGTTTTCTTCATGGGAACTGATGGTTCTAATTCAAAAGCCCTGTTTATCTTGTTAACTCTTGGATGGAGTTCTCAGAACCTACAAAATCCCACACAGTTGGGTTCCCTGTAGGACAACTAATATGTCACCCAATCCAGGACAGTTTAAAAGTGAATAGGAAGGGGAGGAAATGTATAAAAATAGGCCCAGACAGCAGGCCCAAGGGGATGGCTGCCATCACCTGCCTGATGAGCGCCCCGCTGCGAGCACCCCAGGAACACACGGCAACCCCTCAGAGGACATATTTAAAATATTAACCACCTCCTACCTGGGAATGCCCCTCAGAATGTTAACTAACGTTTTCTGTAGCAATTTAAGCTAATATATTTTCTAGGAAAGTAGATGTTATCTGATTACATAAAGCAACCATTAAAAAATGTTTGCCATTTTACATCTGGATTTGAAAGAAACCGTGACTCTTCTCTAAGTCAAAGGGACTACAAATCCACCTGTTAGGATCCCACCCAGACTCCGTCTACTGTCTGCTTAAAGGTAAAATGCATGGCACTGGCCTCGGAGCAGGGGCCATGAAGGGCGCTGGCCACACTGGGTGAGCATAACCTCACTGGGGAGTGGCAGCCTCCTGGCCACCAGACCCTTCCCAGTGACTTCCCCCGCAGAACCTCTTCTAGGGGGGTTACTACCTTTCCAGCAATCAGCGTGGCTTCCTGGAGACTACAGTGTAGACAAATGATTATTTGGAAATTTGAAAGTTTCTAAAGCCTAGAAATATGGCTCACTGCAGAAAAGGGCAACTGTGGTAACTCCTTTACTGGCAACAAGATCCGCCCTATTCTGTCTCCCCTTTCTTTAGGTTGAGAAACAAAATAAAAATACATTAAAACCTAATTCTAAAGGTGCTGGTTTCCTACTAGTTATTGTATTTACTGACTGACCATTTTAAAATTGGGGGGGGATATTTTGACAGTCTTTGTCAAAAAGCAATCGATGGATTTAAGTATCTCCTAACTCACAATTTTTTATCAAGAGTGTGGTTTCCTATTTGCAACCTTAGGTCAGATTTAAAGGCAGTTACTTGATTTTATTTTAACCAGTTGTTTTTCCTGCTTAATTGTGATTTATAATATTTAATTTCTTAATGGGACATATTGTCCATTGTTACGCAGTTAAATGTCATAAAGATGGGATTCACCTATGTTTACTTTATGAAAAATTTATTTTCAATTCACCTCCGAATATTCTCTGAGGCCACTGATTCAGAGTTTGGTTCTAGAGCATCTGTTTTCAAACCAGGCTCACGTGTGATACTCAGGAGGTCTATAAAATCCTTGAGATAGTGTGAAAAAAAAATTTATCTTTGTATGATTTTTCCCTGTGGGAGACTACTTCATGAAATTTCAAAAGAGGTTCATTAAAAATGTCACCAATTACTGTTAGAGTCATCACAAATTAATGAAGAAAGGCTATTCTATTCGTTACCCATTTCACTTGCCACATTTGGAGATTCAAGTAACAAAAAAATATCTGTGTATTACAAAATGAACCTAGAAGGGAGGTTAAAATAAGGCATTTGAAAAATTTTACAAATCACATGATGGGGCAGCATATTTTCTTGAAGAAAGATGCAAAGGTGCAGTATTCAAAGTCAATGCTACGCATGTATATGATCGTATTCTTCACTGCGCGGGAGGGAACGATTCCAGTTGAATATGATCATGACTTTCGGTTAAGTTCCCTAGAGCTGTCTGAACCTTTTATTTTAGAATTTAAAAGTAATAAAGACATAGTTTGGATCAGACCCAGTCCATATTGGATATATACAGAGCAGTACAGTCCAAAGCTGAGAGCAGTGGGATGCATGTGAATGTTACGCAAAAATAAATGAACAAATCAAAGAAACATTATTTGGGACATGTACGTGTAGAGAATCTCAGCATTTCTTTCACCCTATCATGCTCTTGTTTTTCGAAAAACGGTTGTTTGATCATGAATAGTTCCTACAGTGGGTAGATTCAGAAATGTTTAGATACCCAATATCCCTTTGTTCACCCTGTAACTAGGAAGCAGCACCAGTCAGCATCTCGAGTGCTCACTACATTTGGACAAATCTTGGCTCCCCACCCACCCTGCTGCACAAACCTGTAGGCTGTCACAGACCTGCCCATGCAGGGTCCCTGTAGGATTAAGGGAGGACCTAGCTGGACTAGCTGGACTACTTAAGAACCTAGGTAACCTGGGGCTAGACACGGATTTTAAGTTTTAGCATTAAAATGAATTAAGTGCATTGAATTACATTAAAGAGAGAATGATTCAGTTTAAATACAACGATCAATTGATTGTTGCACTAAGAATGAATTTAATACTTCTGGAAGCTTCTAAGTAGAACAGTTCTAATAGTTTTCAAAAAATAAAAATAAAATTCAAACTAAAGAATGACTTTTGTCTGAATGGAATCTGTCAAAGACGACGACAGAAGCTCCCCTTTCAAAAAGTTGATTGTGGGAGGTTTCCAGGAAGGCACAATGAGACTCTGGTAACACTCACCAGTGGAAGGACATGATATTAAAAGTTCTCTTTGTAACTTTTGATATTACTAATGGTTTCAGAAATTAATAACTGAGAAATATGCATATTCTTGGGTAGAAAGAAACTGAAAAATAAAGTTTTATGATGACATAGTTTTCTAATAATCAATTATTTTATTCTATGAATTAAAGCTTTAAACCGAATCTCAATTAGGAAATAAATGTTTGACCTTGAAATCATAAAGAGTTTCTGTCCTAAACGTTTCTTCTTTCCACAAAAATATGCAATAGATGAAATGTCTGTGTCTTTGAAACTCATAAATAAGCAAAGATTATTAACAAATTAAAAGAAAAATATAGTCTCTTTCATTATCCCTCAAAAGATTTTAAAAGAATCAATACTATTTTAGGGGGGCAGGCAGGGATATATCTATGCACAGTGTTATTTGCACAAATATGACTTCTAAATCAATCTAGGCATGAGTGCATATATTTTAAATTAGGCTTAGCATACATCTTATTTTAAAACTTGGATTTTTACAAAATATATGTATATATTTTATTGTGTATATATCTCACAAAGATCTTTTCATACCAATAAATATGGACCTGCATCAATAATAATTATTGGGTAGCAAAATAATAGGCATAATTAGAGAGGCTCAAATACAGGAATGCAGCAACAGTTAAACAGCACTTTAGAGTAAAACTTTTTTTTTTTTTTTTTTTACCCATATCTCCTCACTCAGTCCAATGTCCAGTTGTCTATTTTGGGTTTGGTATCAATAAAATGGTCTCAGCTCCCTCTCCTATTTCATCTGGAAATACATCCAGCAATTGTGAAGGACAAATACTTTTCCAGGTCATTAGTGCCTTGCTATAAAGTGTGACTCTAAAGCCATCCAGGAGTTTCTGACCAGCAGTCAGAGACACCAATCTCTACTGTCCTCCCCAGGGCAAGCATTTAAGGAGGTAATGGCCTTATCTCAGTTCTTCCCAGGCTAAACCATTTAGGGGACTACTCTTATCTTTATATGTCTCTCCCAGAATTGCCCAGGGCTTGGCACAGAATAGCTGATACTCAACATGTTTCATGAAAAAAGTAAAACATGAATGTTCTCGGTGATACAATTCTTTACCTGTGAAGGTGGCTATAAGGTGTAATTCATTCGTTCTAGTTCTTCACCCTAAACAAGGCAATTTTACCTCCTAAGACAGAGACTTCTGCTTTCACTTAGAATCTAACTCTGTACAACTGTCACCAGCTACCCAGAACACTGCGATGCAAAGAATTCTGAGGCTCTTCTGGGACAGGCAGTAAGCTGGCCTGTGGTGCAGGACGAGACAATGAGAGACGGCACACTAGGGTGGTTGAGAGCTTGGGTTCTGAGCTAAACCACATGATTTTGGATTATGGGTCCGCTTTATATACATCCTGGCTGTGTGACTTTGGGTATGTTTCTTAATCTCTCTGTAACTGAATTCTGTCTTTGCAAAACAGGGATAATAATAACATGCATCTTGCAGGGTCTTAGAGGATAAATTGAGGTAACCCAGATACAGTGCTTAGTGCTGGCCCCTGGCAAATCCATTAGTACTGTGTCATTTGATAATCCTGTTGTGAAACAATGCATACGATAGTAAACTCAGAGAAGATAGAAGCTAACAGAATACTTTTTGGGAATTTTTATTACAAACCTTAAGGTAACAATTCTGAAGGGAAAGATCAAAGATAGCAACAGAAGTAGAAGACCCTAATGCAAAAGACACTTCGTGGATCAGCTATCTTGAAAGGCAATAAAGATGTAACCCTTGACACAAACAGTAACTTTGGGGTTGGGAGGGATCATTCTTCCTTGCCTCCAGCTTGGAAATCTCTATACTGTGCCTTTGGGTCATACAGATATAGCTAATCGTGTCTTATTGATACCAGCTTTTATCTGGTTCCTTCTAGGCAAGGACAATGTTCCTTATAGTTGTTGTACAGATGGTGACAGCTGGAAGAGGGTGGGGGTCCATGCATGGTTTTGATTAACTTTCACCTCACACATTCATTTCTTATATTTGATGACATTCACCTCATTTACCTTTGTCAAAAGTAAACCCATTGTTAGAAAGTGAAATACCTGGAGATACTGTCATGTGAATCTAAACTATCCATCCTGTGGGCTGTCTGTGCACCTGAAGCAGCTCCGGGTCGCTCGTCAATGGTGTCCAGTCCCGACTCTCTGGAAAGGTTCATGATGTGGTTCTGATAGTACATGTGGATGCTCTCCCGAGTCGGAACGTTGCCCTGAGGAGAACGAGACATTGCCACCGTTCCTATGGAGGCGCCTGCCTGTACAGCCACCCGGCACTTCTCAGCGCAGACAGCTTTTCATACCCAAGCATGCCTGGATAAGGATTAGGACCATGCTAGGTAAGTGGGGATTGACGTCGACTCATTTCATAAGTGGTTTCCAACATTACTAGGTAGATCTAAGTAAGTGTCTTCTTATAGGTAGATAATTTTGCTAAATCATAGTAACTTTTCAAGAAATGAACTATTATTTTTAAATACAATCTTTAAACCATATATTTTGTTGTTCTGCATATGTCCTATGTTTTCTTATAAAGAAGTTTCAGATCAAACTTTCCAGACTTCAGTGTTCAGGAGGGAGAAAAAAAACCACCACTTTCTACACTTTCCAGACTAAAACTATAATTATTTATTAACTATACGGATACAGAACAAGGCAATGTCTGTACACCTGCAAACTGTGGTGAGGGGAGGGATAGGATGAATAAAGTTGCCCTTCTGTGATGTATGTGCGTGTGTGTGTGCATGCGTGTATGTGGTGCACGTGCAAGCACATTTAATTATTTTAATTCTTAGTGTGGAATAGATTTAAATATACAGAAAAGCAAAGGGGTTATGCAACCATTGCCTGGAAAGAAAGGGTTTTGTCTTATCCTACCTAGAGTTTTGGACATTGACTTTTAATGTCTTCCTAATGTGGGAAGGAGCAAAAAGAATTACACCAGCAGTATTACCTTCTTAATTTCTCTGGTCAGCATGCATCGCTCAATTCTCAGAACTGTAGATATATCAATATGCTCCCTTGAAATGGAGTTAAGCCAAGTGGTGAAACTGTCCACTGTTGCCAGAAATAGGACCCAGGTAAATTTCAAAATATTAAATATCCTCTTGATGATATTGTCTAGGAGAAAGAAAAGCAACAAGATGCTAAAGGAACAAAATACCATTGATTTTGCTTTTGTGCCGAACAGCGATGTTTTACCAAAAATTGGACCTGGCTCTTGCCCTGTGCATCTAAAAGGCATGTGACTCAGATACTCATCACGCACAGAGGAGAGCTGCCATGCAGGAAGCTCTCATGGGGCTTTGCACACATGCAGTGGCAGACCACATCAGGATAGAACTTGTAATCTTTAGTGGAAATAGCAGGCAGAGCAGCTCCCTATGAGCTGACCCTGAACAACATGGGTTTGAACTGCGTGGATTGTTTTCAGTAAAATTACACCAAACGTGCCTGTGTCTCCCGCTTCCCCTTCCACCTTCTCTCCTCCACCTTTCCTGCGTCTGCCACCCGCGACAGCAAAACCAACCCCTCTCCTTCCTCCTCCTCCTCAGCCCACTCGAGGGCAAGACGACGAGGATGAAGAGCTTTATGATGGTCCGCTTCCAGTTACTGAATAGCAACTATATTTTCTCTTCTTTCTGATTTTCTTCATGACATTTTCTCTAGCTTCCTTACACAATATCTGCATATAGGGACATCTGATGTTCTGTGTGAGAATGTTTCCCGCCTGTGCTGTCACTACCTTGGCGACGCCTAAACTTCCTTGAAACTGTGTCACACCTAACAGTCTTCCATGAGGTATGTTTAGGAAGCAAGGAAAGGAGAGGGTATCTTTTGCTGACAAGGAGGCACAGGAAGAGAACGGCCGCTGCTCGAAGCTGAATGAAGCGAGTCGCTGTGGCCACTGAAGAGGAGATGCCACGAGCACCGACGTTTCCCTCTCCACCCCTCCGCACATCCTCTACAAAATCTCAAGCACGGTATGGATTTCTCACACTCGTTCGGATCGAGCCTCTAGCTGCTCTGTGTAGACACAAAGGTATGTATTTCTCACACTCGTTCGGATCGAGCCTCTAGCTGCTCTGTGTAGACACAAAGGTATGTATTTCTCACACTCGTTCGGATCGAGCCTCTAGCTGCTCTGTGTAGACACAAAGGGGAAGCTTGGCTCTGGAGGATGAAAGGCTGGGAGTTACACCCATCAATGAACTTGAGCAGCTCCTTATATTTTCAACACGTATTTTTCTTGTTTTCACAATTGTTTTCTTAGAAAGGATGAAGATGAACGTTATTACCGCATGGTTCTGCTATGGTAGGCCTGATGGTAAGGCTGCAGCCGCTGCACTGGGGATGTGAGTGATGTGTGCTTTGTGAACCTGGGTGACGACTCACCAACAGGGAAAGTGAGGACTCGAGTTTAACTACAGGGGCAGGAGGACACAGTGGTTAAAAGCACACACTCTGGATTCAGACTCCTTGGGTTCAAATCCCAACTCCACTCTTTAGTAGTTACATAGGGTTGGTTAATACAACTAAGAGATTAAGCTGGTTAATCTCTCTCTGCCTCAGTTCCCTGTTTTGAGAAGGTTAAACTAGTTAATATACTCCAAACTCTCGAAAAAGTGCCTGAGAAACAAGACACGTGATCTGAAGTGTTGGCTGCTGTTACGGTGTGAGGCTTTGCAGCAATAAGAGTGTCCAGGTCCACATGTATGTGTGTCCAATTACCTAGAACTGGAAGTCTGGGTTTGAGGACTGGCACAGCGGAGGGCATTAGGTGGCCTTCAGTAAGTCTCCTTTCGTGCCAGCAGAGGGCAGGCTTGGAAGCATTTGTGTGGGGACACAAAGAGCCTGACGCCTGGTCTGCTGATAGGTAACTGCACAGGCGCTCCAAAGCAGACGAAGAAATGGCACGACTAGAGAGGGCTAGAGAGCTTCGAGTTCATTTCATTTGGAGGCTTTTGCCTTTTTTTCTTCCTGCATAAAGATACCTTCCTCCATATCACATACTATGAGGAGCCCAGATGGCACTGTGGCTGGATCGGGAGTTAGAAGACACGGGTTCTCTCCCTGACTCTTACCTGTGGAATCCAGAACAAGTCACCAACTCACTGAGCCTGGTTTTCCTCTCCTAAAATGAAAAGTTTGGCCCTAACCTTCTAGTGTATCTCTAATTTCCCCAGTCCTACTTACCTCTCATTTACCTCCTCCTTTCTGTGTTTTTTAAAAATAATTGCCAGTACTTTTCGTGTGTGCCTCCATTCTGACGGCTTCCATGGGACATTAAGAATTTGCTCCCTAAAAGCCTCTTTCATAGATGCTTGCATAAAGGAATTTACAAACTGAAACTAATTCAACATTTTACCCAACTGCGTAAAGTCCAGACCTACTTTTAAGAGTCATTTTGTGGCTGGGCGCGATGACTCATGCCTGTAATCCCAGCACTTTGGGAGGCCGAGGCGGGCGGATCACGAGGTCAGGAGATTGAGACCATCCTGGCCAACACGGTGAAACCCCGTCTCTACTAAAATCTTAAAAAAACTAGCTGGGCATGGTGGTGGCGCCTGTAGTCCCAGCTACTTGGCAGGCTGAGGCAGGAGAATGGCATGAACCCGAGAGGCGGAGCTTGCAGTGAGCCGAGATCGCGTCACTGCACTCCAGCCTGGGCGACAGAGCGAGACTCCATCTCAAAACAAAACAAAAAAAAAAAGGTCATTTTGCAATTTCAGTGGAGATGAGATTCCAAGGGATACTGATTATTTCCGCTCATATTTATCTTTATTTTGTTACCTGGTCCATCAGATTTCTTTTTGATTGGTTCATCCTCCCGATCTTCCCATTCCACGGGACCTGCCAAGTGTGTTCAATAAAGATGAGTTAAATTCCATTTAGGGTGAATTAAATGCCAGTGTTACTCTTTTAGATTAAAAGGAATTTTATAATTAACTCCAGGACATTCTGTCTATTTTAAGAGTTCCTCGGGAAAATTTGCTCGAATTCATAGCTCTTAGATTATTTTACTCCATGCCAGCATAAAAATTATGTAAACCAAGGACGTGTAAACTACATTCACTGGTGGTACTGGCCAGTACTGGTGGGCTGACTATTGTCAAATGGCCTGTGAGTTCAGAATGGCTTTTATATTTTTAATAGTTGAAAAATCTAAAGGAGAATATTTGGTGCATGTAAAAATTATGTGAAATTCGAATTTAACAGTCATGCCCATTTGTCTGTATATTGTCTATAGCTGCTTTTTCCCTATAATGGTAGATTTGAGTTGCACACAGACTTCATGAATAGTAAACCTTAAAATATTTACTATCAACGCCAGGTGCAGAGGCTCATGCCTGTAGCCCCAGCACTTTGGGAGGCTGAGGAGAGAGGATAGCCTGAGCCCAGGAGTTTGAGACTAGCCTGGGCAACATAGTGAGACCTCGTCTCTACAGAAAATCAAAATATTAGCTGGGTGTGGTGGCACACACCTGTAGTCCCAGCTATTTGAGAGGCTGAGGGTGGGAGGATTGCTTGAACCTGGGAGCCATGATTGTGCCACTGCACTCCAATCTGGGCAAAAGAGTGAGCCCTTGTCTTAAATAAATAAATAAATATATTTGTTATGAGGTTCTTTATAGAAAATGTTTGTCATATCTTAAAATGACATTATAGGATTTCATTTCATTTCATATCCTCTTATTTAAGGCTAAAATGATCTAGCAAGTAAAAGTGCAGGATAGCCAGTTAAATTTGAATGTAAGATAAACAAGAAATTTTAAATTTCAGAAAATGTAAACGTATATTTAGGAGATTCCTTACAAGCACAAATTGTGTCATGGTAAAGTCTGGGATTCTGGTGTGCCCATCACCAAACGGCAAACATTGTACCAACAGGTAATTTTTCAACCCTCAACTCCCCTCTCCCCAACTCTTCCGCATTTGATTATCTCCAGTGTCTATGACTGCCCTCCCTCTGGATGCCCATGTGTACCCACTGTTTAGCTCCCACTGATAAGTGAGAACATGAGGTATTTAACTTTCTGTTTCTGCATTATTTCATTAGGATAATGAACTCCAGCTCCATCCATGTTGCTGTAGAAGATATGACTTCATTCATTTTTATGGCTAAGTAGTATTCCATGACATACACATATATCACATTTTCTTTTTCCAGTCCTCCGCTGATGGACAGTTAGGTTGATTACATATTTATGCTACTGTGAATAGTGCTGCAATAAACATGTGAGTGCAGGTACCTTTTGGATACAATAATTTTCTTCCCTTTGAATATGTATGTAGTAGTGGGACTGCTGGATTGAAGGGTAGTTCTGTGTTTAGTTCTTTAAGAAATCTTCATTTTTTTTGAGGTTTTAATTTTATTTATTTGGGTACCAGTGATTGATTCCAAATAAACCTTTTTACAAAAAGGATATAAGGTGGTTTATGGCTACATATGAAATATAACAGGATAACAGGTAGATGAGAAAGTAAAATGAAAAAATCAGGTTAGGAGACACAAAACAGACCCAGGGATGAGGCTAGAACATTTATAATTTGGTGTTGATCCTGTCATCTGATAGGGCATGTTGCTCATACTGTTGCTCTGAGGGAGTGCCTCTTGAGAATTTTCAAATAATGATGTGAAGTTTGAGGTATATATTTTAAATCTTTGTATTTTTAAAGTATAAGTATGTTCCATGAAATATGTCCAGATTATACTTAAGCTAAACATTGTTTGTTATGTTAAAAACTCAAATGGGGCTTCATATATAGAGGATATATATGTATATATATGTATATATGAATATACACATATATACACACACACACACGAAGCCCAGGAAATATGTAGAGAATATATATGTCCTATATATATTCTCTCTGTGTGTATATATATCTCTAATATATATATGTCCTATATACATATTCTGCCTCTGTGTGTGTGTGTGTGTGTGTGTGTATATATATATTAGAGTCAGGTCTTGCTCTGTTGCCCAGGTTAGACTGCAATGGTGTGATCGTAGCTCACTGCAGCCTTGACCTCCAGGGCCCAAGTGATCCTCCCTCCTCAGCCTTCCAAGTAGCTAGGACTACAAGTGTACAACACCACACCTGACTATATTAAGAAAAAATCTTTTTAGAGATGTTGCCCAGGCTGGTCTCAAACTGCTGGTCTCAAGTGATCCTTCTACCGCAGAGTCCCAAGTTGCTGAAATTACAGGCGTGAGCCACAGCTCCTGGCTCAGTTTCCTGCATTTTATCTGGTAACCCTATCTAAGGTCATTCATGATCTGACTCCAAGAATCTTCTCAAACTTATTTTCTGCTATCCTCTTTACTACTGTTGCTCCACATCTGGCCTTGACCAGCTAAGCTGCCCTGCTCTTTATTTTTTGTGCATGGGCTGGCTTTCTTCTGCTAGAATGTCAGGCTGTGTGCAAACACTCCCTTCTTCAGGGAGCATTCTCTGAAGCCATGCTTGCCTACAAGAAATCCTTTCTCCCTCAGGTCCCACACTATTTTATCTCTACTTCTGAAAATGGAACTTGGCAGTTTTGATATCATTAGGAATTTTTTCCCTACACTTATCTTGCCTACCAGTTACAATGAAAGGCTTTAGAACAAATTAGTCTAGTAGGAATTCCAGACCCACTACTCACTGAATGGCTGTGTGACCTCAGGCAAGTTGCTTCAATCTCTGGGACCTTATTTGCTCCTCTGTAGAGCAGGGATAATAAAATGACCCTGTGCTGTTGCAAGGATCGAATTAGTTACTACAGTATACATGAGGCACATATGACAACAGCTGGCACTTCAGAAGAATGGGATCCACGTGCTTCATCTATCTGGAAGACATGACGCCTCGTACCAAGAAAGTGCTGAGTAAATATTCATTAAAAGAGTATCTTTAAATTATTGCTGTCTTTGGTTGGTAGGTTAAGAGTGCTGCATACGATAAATAATCTTCATGACACAGAGCAAGGAGCTATTTTCAAGATGACCAAAGAACAAATTTTTATAACTGATTGAAACATTCCAGAAGGAAAATGTCTGAGAACAGCAAACACAATTTTGAAAAAAAAAGGTAGTGAGAGGAGTTTGCCTCACTAAAAATTAAAACAAACTCTATAGCTACTAGACTTAATAGTATGTGGCACTGGCCCAGAGCGAGACAATACAAGGGAAGACCAAAATAGAATCTGAAAACATACCCGAGAAGAAATGGGAGCCTAACACTGACAAATGAAGCATTTAAATCCAGTAGGAAAAGGATGAATCATCTTAATAAATTGGAATAACATAATTGTGTATCCATCTAAAAGTGAACAAATTAGATCTCTACTTCATAGAATAAAAATTTAAGATGTAGCCAGGTACGGTGGCTCATGCCTGTAATCCCAGCATTGTGGGAGGCCGAGGTGGGTAGATCACGAGGTCAGGAGATCCAGACCATCCTGGCCAACATGGTGAAACCCCATCTCTATTAAAATACAAAAAATTAGCCAGGAGTGATGGCGGGCGCCTGTAGTCCCAGCTACTTAGGAGGCAGAGGCAAGAGAATCACTTGAACCCGGGAGGCGGAGGTTGCAGTGAGCTGATTTTGTGCCATTGCATTCCAGCCTGGCGACAGAGCAAGACTCAGTCTCAAAAAAAAAAAAAAAAAAAAAAAAAAAATTAAGAGGTAAGTAAAATTAATAGAAAATCTGGGAAACATCCACATCATATCTGGGAGGAGAGACTTTCTTTTCTTTCTTTTCTTTTTTTTCTGAGGCAAAGTCTCACTCTGTCACCAGGCTGGAGTACAGTGGTATGGTCTCAGCTCACTGCAACCTCCACCACCCGGGTTCAAGTGATTCTCCTGCCTCAGCCTCCCGAGTAGCTGGGATTACAGGCGTCTGCCACCACGTCCAGCAAATTTTTTGTATTTTTAGTAGAGACAGGGTTTCACCATATTGGCCAGGCTGGTCTTGAACTCCTGACCTCACGTGATCCACCTGCCTCAGCCTCCCAAAGTGCTGGGATTACAGGTGTGAGCCACCGCGCCTGGCTAAGAGACTTCTTAAAAGCAAGATGGAAACCTAGAAACTGCAAGGGGAAATTTGACACAAGAAAAAAAACAATAATTGCTTAGATTGCATATATCATACACTAAATCAAAATATAAGCCTTGGGTTGGAAAAAATATCTGAAATATACAAAAATGGGATAATCACAAATTGCACTGAAATTGGCGGACTGGTCTAAAGTTTACGGAAGAAGTCTGAGCTAACGTATTTAAAGCCACGAGAGTGGATGAGAACACCTAGGGAGTGAACATAAATGGAGAAGTTTCCATAGACAAGTCCTGGACAGCACAGTGTTAAGGGTCAGGGAGATAGGGATGACCAGCGAGGCAGGGGGAGAACTAAGCTCGAGTGTGTTTGGAAAACCAAGTGGACAGCATGTTTCCAGGATGCAGTGATTTTTTTTTTTTTTTTTTTTTTTGAGACGGAATTTCGCTCTTGTTGCCCAGGCTGGAGTGCAATGGCACGATCTTGGCTCACCACAACCTCCACCTCCCAGTTTCAAGTGATTCTCCTGCCTCAGCCTCCCGAGTAGCTGGGATTGCAGGCATGCACCACCACACCCAGTTAATTTTGTATTTTCAGTAGAGATGGGGTTTCTCCATCTTTGTCAGGCTGGTCTTGAACTCCCGACCTCAGGTGATCCGCCCACCTCAGCCTCCCAAAGTGCTGGGATTACAGGTGTGAGCCACCGCGCCTGGCTTTCAAGATGTAGTGATTAACTGTATCGGGTGCTGATCGATATGAAAGTCATTGCTGGTCATTGGTGACCTTGATCAGATCAATTTGGATG